GTGCCACCTTTTCACGTACCCTTTTCGACTTACAAAAAAAAAAAAAAAAAAAATAACAAAACATTTGTAGATATAAAAAACACACCCCGGCAATATTGTATTCGCTTCGGTCTCTGGGGCTTTCAAACTAATGCGGTCTGACGTCGAGGAGCGACTCTAGTTATATTTGATATATTATTATATATACCTACGTGTTAAAAGGAGTTTAGAGGGGGGGGGTCGAAAAAAACAACAAAACCGTATAAACAGGCGAGAGAAGAACGGCGTGGCGGCAACAGCGGCAGCTGAGTTCAACAATGTAATCGGAATATTATATGGTATACGGTACAAGGTATATTCGCGTGGTCCCTAAAAAAAAAAAAAATAAAAAATGATAATAATAAGGAACCGATTCTTTTCGGAAACTCATCCGAGTTCGGAGGTCAAAAGGCGGCGATGTGAAAAAAAACTCACTGGGGATTTCTCCACTTACCACTCATCGCGTTGAAAAAAAAAAACGAAAACAAAACAAAAAAAAAAAACGCCAGCATTTCGTGCTCGAACGGACAGACGCCGGGTTTAATCATCGCTTTGTGTTGTTTTAGCAGCACTCCACACACACACACACACCAACACACATGCACATACGCACACACACACATAAGCACATCGTGCTCGCCGAAAACAGCCGCAAAAGAGAAATACTTCAATAAAGTGAGACGCGACGTGTGGTGGCGTGGAGTAGTGGCCCGGGGGATTGGGAGGGAGGGCGTGTAAGACAAAGATAATTTGTTTTTGTACAGGTTCCCGTCGTCGACTCGAGAAAACAAAATAGTTCGAGTGGGCGGTTCTCCGGCTCATTCGCCTTGCCGCCACGCCGCAGTGGCGGTTCGGATACTTGCAGGAACCCTCGGGAACGAACGGGACAAGGAGAAAATCCGAACGTTTGATACTGCGGGCGCAAACTGTAGCAGCAGCAGCAGCAGCAGCAGCAGCAGCAGCAGCAGTAGCAGCAGAAACGACGACGATGACGACGACACAATGACGTTGATTGTTAATTGTAAAAGTTTCCGCGGCGAAAAGGATCGTGCGTATTATTTTTTATGATTATTATTATTATTATTGTACGGGCCAATCGACCTTGTTGGGCGGACGGTGGTGCCGATTAATCATATTAAGAGTGCATATTATTATTGTATTATAGAAAACCTTGAAAAAAAAAAAAAAATTTGTTTTTGTATTCAGAATACCAATTTGAGTAAACAAGTATTCATGACACATATTGGAATATGTTCAAAAATGCATTAAGAATACTTTTATATTTGAATATTTCTAAAAGTATTAGAATACTTTTCAAATGTTTTTTTATTCAGTTAGTTGATTTATTTTTGTAACAATTATAGTTCTATAATTAACGTTTTATGGCTCAATATTTTAAATTGATTACTGATTATTCGAATTCGGGACTTGAACTTAGTTTGATTGAAGTGTTACTTAGAAAAGAAGTAATTTGTTGGTTTTCCTAATAAATGGAATAAACCGGGAAGAAAGTTTGGAAAATAGAGAAAATCTACGAAATTTATTATTTAAAATCCTACATTTTACGACCTTTTAAACATATTTAGTTAAATTCTGCTCAGAATCGTTTAATTTTAAAAATATATTGGTCAATACAGTCTGTCAATTTAATTGCCAGCATTATATCCTAATTTCCCCATTTTCAAGCTGTAACAGTTGCTTAACCATGGAGCGAAGTATGTTCGGTTTTTTTTTAAATCATTTTAAATTAATTTTTTTTTACGTTTCTGAGACCTTTTTTGTGAATTGTAAAATCAGCAAGCCGCAAAATCTATTAATCAGTATACAAAAATATTAAATATTACAACATTATTAGGCTCAAATAATAATTATACTTTGATAAACATAAAAGTTAATTATTATTATATTACGTTCATAATTTATTATGTGACTTTAAAAATATACTATTTACGATTTAGATTACAAATTGATAAGATATTATATGAAACGATGTATTAAAAATGGTTTGAGAAGAAAAATATTTCTTTTACTGCATAGAAATGCGAAAAATGATATCCAAAATACGTATTCGTATGTTTTTCCCGAAAAGTATTCAAAATTGTAGGTGAATATTACAAAGTATATAATATTAATTTTATTGGAATACATTTTATCGAATGTTTTACAAGGCTGACCATAGATGCCATAAATAACTCATATGAGATACGAATTAAGCAACCGTACATATGATACTGATTGGGTGATTTTTATTAACCCGCGAATTATACTAATTGTTTATGCCATGGATTTTACGTTGATGTAGACATTATTTACGATTTTTGGTTTCACTCACAGATACTGTAAGAAATAGCTTTTATGCCTATAACACACACACAAATCATCACTATATAATAACAAAATGTATCACGGGTCACTGATTTTCAAGGCGGTGTTCCGATGAAATCCCGGTTCGAAAAGGTTTTGGAAGCATTGGGTTAATCAATAGAATTTACCACTATGATATACAATTATCTACGTGCTTCAGATTTATTCGGTTTTCTTTATAGTTATTATACATAATTTTATGACATTTACTAACGGAAATAATAATAACGTGGTATTATTATTACGAAAAAAAAAAACCCCCCCGTGTAGGTTTTTAAATCGGTTAATGCTCGCGTGTTCGGATCTGATTAAAATACAATAGATGATATAATTTTTACGCGTATTAAAAGTAGATACAAAAAAAAAAAAAAAAACGAAAAATCGAAAAAGTATCGTTGTTCAGTGTCATTTGGAGACTTGTATATTATATGACGTATTCTCTAATGAAAATTGTCATTGCGGCTTTCGTGACGCGCCGTGAATCGTGAAAAACGTACATTTACCTTAATATGTTATCGACCGTATAGACGGACTAATAATGTTATAATACAGTCATTATTGTTCAATACTACGGTGTAATCGATCTGATTTATCGTATTGGGTATTTATATACGTATGTTTATAATGGGTTACCACGATAGAGTTTTTCGAAACATATTATTTCTTGTACCTGGAACGAATTGCTCCAATTCTGGAGCAAAAGAGGCGAACGAAAATGTTTTTTTTATTATACGTGATACGCACGTATAACTATATAAATATATAGTTTTTTTGTCTAGTTTTATTTTATTAAATTCAAAATGATATTTTGGTAATGGATTATACAATAAAATTTGATTTATTACACAAATATTGGTGTGCAGGTTAGCGAAATTGAATTTCCTGCAAAATAAAATACAAAGTACCTCAGTTAAATGATTGTTGAAAAATTTAATGATACAGTATTGGTGATAAATAATTTATAACTCGATGTATCTAACAAGACCGTATTATGTATTTTTTTACCTATGATCGCGCAACCTAACACAAGGTATATAATTCTTACGAGTCAAAATTAGTTTTTATAAAAAAATAAACACTACACGTTTTCAAAATGTATTAGTTTTAGTTTTAATTTTTAAATCCGAAGCATTACATAATGTGGAGAAAAAAAATAAAATCCCATTGCGCATCAATCAAAATTACCCTCCCCTCTTCCAAAATGTCCTTAAAAAGAAACTCGAAAAAGTGGTCAACGTTTTTTAAAAAAAGAAAAAATATAACGTTGATGATACAATCATTTGAATTCGAATAGATCATTAAAAAGTTTTAAATAAAAAAAAGTTTACTTTTTTAGTCGAGAAAATTCTCGATTTTTTATATAGTTTCAATAAACTATGGGTTTTCCACAAATAATCGTTTGAATCGCTATTTTTCGGTAGTTTTTTGCAATAATATCGAAAAATACTGGCAAACTCGAAGAACTGCCTGTTTAAAGTACCATTTGTGTTTAATTTACGGTGTTAAGAGAGGGCTACATACAACTTTCGAAGTATTTTTTCCATCCTAAAATGTGAAGTTTACAGACAAAAGAAAAACGCTTATTTATTATAAAACTGATATATTCTTGGCTTAGCACGCAAAGTCTGAAAATTATCTAAATAATATAATTTTATTTATAATATAATATTTATAATATTTTATTTATCATAAAATGATAAAATTATTCGTATGGATAAAAGCTGCAGTATTCGTAAGCCGTTAGAATTTAATATTAGGTGAACAAATAAATAGAATAAACAGGTTCGATTTTTCCGTATTAAATGTTTATATAATATATTTTTTACTATCACCGTTATTATAATATAATATTATAAACGTTAAATTGATTGTTTTGGACTCACGATACTCGAAAATGTGTAATAAGATGAAACTATTTTTCATTAAACAGAGAATGAAGCGCCAAGGCTTTCATTTATAACGTTGCCTCTTATATTTTATTATTGGTCTCGTATATGCGTTTATTAACGCGTCTCTTTTAGCATTTTTATTATTTGGTTGTTTCAAAAATCGATTTTTTTCCACACCATACACATTGCACTATAATATTATATAATATAGTACCGTTCTGAAACTCTGCTTTAAGGCCTGTAGCCGGGACCGGGAAAATAAGAAAAAGAAAAGAAAAAGAGTGTGGGGAAAAGAAAAGAAAGTAAAATACGATAAAAACGAGCGGTAAATGAATCGTCGGTCTCGGCTTCGACTTGGTTTGAGTGCTCTGTCGCTGCTGGTGGTACTGTTACATATCGTGCGAGAAAAAATGTCATCCTTACAAATATTATATACATTTCCTTCTCTTTACCTCTCGAACCAAAGCAGTATGGTGGGACCGGTAACTGCTATTTTCCCTCTCTAACTTTTACAGTCTTTCGGGTCTTAGGAATTTGTGCGCACACACACCCATACTTACACACGTACGAAACTCGCAAAGTTTGATTATAACCACCATCAAAACTGACCCCATCTCTGTCACTGTCTCGACGATGATATCGGCTTGAACAGCTTTACAGGCTCTCTGAGTACAACTAAATAACATGCAAAGCAGCGCATATACGTTGTGATAGCCAAGAGGACGGTCTCAGCTCATCGTGATACAGTGGCAATACTTTGGGATAAGAACTGAGTGTCAAATCCTCCTAAGGCTTTTTTTTTAAGTTTTATAGTGAGGGTATACTAAAATTTGGAGTATTCTATATAAATACGCATTTAAAAGTTTTTGATTAAATTTAAACTAACATGATGATCAAAACCATAACTGATACCTAGCGGGATACGGAATCAGAGATATTTATAATTAAATATGTTGTTTATTAGTATTGAATAAACGGATTGGCTATATTGGCAGTTCATATACATGTACCAATAATTCCAAAGGAAGTGTTGAATGGAATGGCCCTGAAGCTAAAAATAATAGATCCGTTATTGTTAATTATATAATTTGTTTGTAATCTGTAATCCTCTTTACCTACTAATTATTTATTCATATTCTTATTTTAGTGCAAGACAATATAAAATTTGTAACCTTCTTTAATCCTACCATTTATAAAATATAAATTTCTAGTCTCCTTTTTAGATTATTAATGAATTATAAACAATTGCTCACCCAAGTACTTTGCAAATCTAATTACGCCCCTTTTGTCACCCTCCCACATATTTATTGTTATTACATTGATACTGAGCAGCTGCATGTATTAGAATAATTTTGAGGTTTTTCAAATTCAAATTCAAAAATTTCAAAAATGGCACAAATCAGACCGCTAAGTATTTTGTTGAGTATCCATGTGATAGATTTCTGAATATCTTATCGAGCAAATGAGTAGGGTTTTGGCATATTTATATTGGAAAAACTGGATTCCGGCATATTATATCGAGTAAATGAGTAGGGTTTTGGCATATTTATTTTGGGAAAACTCAAGTTGGGTCATTCTAGTTTATTAGCGTTACCCATGAGACACCGTATGGAAATTGGCCAGGAGGTTTCTCAAAAATGTTGTTTTGTGTTAGTTTATTCGGATATATAAAACTATTAATATATTCAAATTGTGATTATATCTTATTTTCATAAAATTTACATTAATACATGTATCTAATAGTTGTTTTCTTTCGTAAATTTTAAAATATTTATTTCAATTAAAAGTGTAATTGTTCTGGATTTAAAATATCAACAGATTAGCAAAAAGCATAAGTGAAGACTCGTGTTTTGGAAAAATTTAATTAATTAGTCTGAAATAATAATGAAATACAATTTCAAATTTTAATTTAATATACAATTTTCATTTATATTTAGCACAATTTAGTGTATACATTCATATACATGCACTAAACTTAAAAGTTTTTAGGTCATATAAATATGTGTCAAGATCAGTGGCAGTGCTAAGTATTTTTCTCTCAAATCACAAATTTAATTTTCACCAATTCGTTTACCGAAAATATCTCGAGGGGGTGTGGCTACCGCGCCTTGTCCGTTAACCAAAACTAGTGGGTCACCAACCAGTTTCCCCGGGAGGTCCTCGTCGAAACTTGTCAAACGTCCGCAGACTAAATTACTTTTTACCTCTATATATATTTATATATATATGAATAATGGAATATGCTTTATAAATAACGATACAGGTGTATAAGAAGATAATTAAAATGTTAACCGGAAAGAAAAAATGTAATCGAACGTGTCGAAAAACGATGTGCAGAATAACACGTCCTTTTCGTTTCAAACATCACGTACATTTTTATATATATACATTTTTTTTACGATTTCGTCCGAAACCGTCTGCTGAGACCGTGGATGCCGCAGTGTATTTACGTTGTAGTCGTGGTCCGCACATTTTCACGGTCGTAAATCGTCTGCCGTATCGCGTAAAAAACTCGCGAGCCCGCGTACACGTATCCCCGCACCTATACGTATGGTTTATTGTATATTACATTATTATTATTATTATTAGTATTATTTTTTTACCACACATCGAAACTATCGAAACTCGACGGTATAATAATAATGACGAATAACCACAATGGATAACAACTACGAACAACAATAACAATAATAATAATGACACTTCGGAGACGACGTGCTGCGGGATAACGCGCTTACCGCGTCGTAAACTGTATTATAATAATATAGGTGTTTGGCCAAGGGCGTTATCAGGACGTAAAGAAGCGGACGTTCCAGCGAATAGGGCGCGCTATTTTTTAGATTTGTTTTTTTTTATCATCCAAAAGGCCAAACGTCGCACTCGTCCGGTCCGAAATACCGAAATGGTTTTTTTTCTGTTTAGCGTGGAGTGATCCGTTAAAATTTCCTAGGACACTGTTTTAATATAATAATCTTATATGACGTATATATAATATGAGGTAAATACGAGGTGTGATCAAAAAGTTTCCGGATCGTTTGAATTATATGTGTTAACATTAATATTAGTAGCTTAGTAAGTATGAACGACGTCATTAGAAAGATACTTTTCGACGTTAATTAGATTGAATTCTTACTCAAGAAATAGTATGAGTGATGCTCGACTAACAGGACTATGCCTCATGTCAATTCATTGAAGTTTATTTTCTTAGAAACTGAAGAAATAATCAATAATTTTGCAAATCTGCCTCAAAAATTATATTTCATACTTTAATATAGGAAACATAATAACGAAATTATTTATTTACACATTTTGGAGTGAAGCGAGAAATCTATTTGTTTTACTATGATGTGTGTTTTATTTTCATTCTGCAAACAACTTTTTGAACTTATTCCAATCGTAAAATAATAAGAAACATTTTGTGTTACATTTCGAATCAAATTGGTTAATAAGGAAGTAGGTTTTTAATTTATTGTGTAATTTTCCTAATTAAACCTGGAAAAAACTTAGAACGAATGGGAAAAATTACAGATTTAACGGTTTAACTGTTTTTTTTCTATTTTTTTGATTTTTAAGCTATTAATAATTTTATTTGAGTTCTGGTTAGGTTAAGCTATTTTAGGTTAGTTTTTATTTTATTTAGATTTTATTTGGTAGATACTTTGTGGATAAATTTGTTTGACCAAATTTGAAAACTTGAATGAAAATTTCACGTGAAATTCATTATAAGTTTTACTTATAGTGGCAAAAAATATATAAAATATATTTAAAACACAAATAAAATTTCTAAAATAACAATATTGATTAATTGTTTTTTCCAGTGCTATTTTAAGGTTTTTATGTGCTTTTTCGTGAATTATAAGAGAATATAATTTGGTCTTAATTTATAAACAATTTGTAAAATAGTCAATTTTAAATTCATGTTGATATGAATTAATACATCATTATTTTGAATTATTAAATCACATTAACATACAACCATTTTGTAATCTATATGCTTGCCAAATCCAGTACATTTTTTACTACTCTTAGCACATAATTGTATGGTATTTATGAAAAAATTGGTGATTTTTCACCTTTATATGAATAACAAAAATATTATGTGCCTTTAACTTCATTTAAATAATTATTCTCGAGATTATCTCTTCTATTTTTCTGAAAATTGTAAATTAATTAATCTTTATTTAACATTGGTCATATGATTAATTTCAGGGGTAAATCATATCAAATCAAAAATTATTTGAATAGTTTTTTTTGAACGCAATGAACAAAGAGTTATCCTAAACAATTTTTATTTTAAATAAAATAATTATAAAATTTCTGTACAATATTATGTAAAAAAAAATTTAAGACATTTCTTATTGAAGTCTTAACACGACAAATTAAATCTAGAATAAATTAATAAATAAAATAATAAATAAATTTTCAATCGCGATAATTGAATAACATGAATATTACATTATTAAATCGTTGAAATGAAGACGATGATTAAAAATAATCTACAATAAATAATAATAGTATGACAAAAATGAAAGGAATGGAAAATAATTTATAAATATTATAATTTAAATTTAATTTTTAATTGCAACATATTGATACCCAACTTCGTCCACTATACAGAGAAGTAGTGAAATTGCATAATCGAAGCCCCGGCATATAGTGCCAAAATAATTTTTTTTATTATACCTGTTTTTCTACCTAGAGCACAATACTATACGTTCGTTTAAATACTGCAATTATTTAATTAAATATATTAATTAGTGTTTTAAACTCTAATTATGTGTAATATGTATGCATTATTTTTATACCATTGTATCCATATCTTGTATGTATAATATCAGTAAAGTATTTATCACAGAACACTGCAAGATCGATTTTATCGTTTTTAAACTTCTAACCGTATGTTTTTAAATAATCAATTTGAAATTAAACATGGTTCCAAATGATAAACTTACATAATAATATAACCAAATTAGATTTGTAATGATCGTTTCTGATAATTTTTTGTAGTTCGTATAATTGGTTTTGAGTACGTGATGTGATGGGCAATAACATATTGTACGAGTATTTAGGAACCTCGTTAATTTTGATACAAGTGACCAGCAAAGTAATGATATTTTAATATTTCACCCTGAAATTTAAAATTAAAAAAAAAATATTTTTTCCAAGCACTTTGTTATCAAGTGTTTTAATATTCGGATAAATATATCAACCAATCGAAACTATTAAAATGTTTATTCAATTCGATATTTAAATTATAACACCATTTCGTATAAGAAGTATATCTGTAAGGAACGAAAAACCATTGCTAATGAAAAAAAATTAAAATCAAAGTTCGGTTATACTAGTTTTGAAAACCGTAGTATTTTAGATTTTCGTCAAAAATGTATATTACAATTCTTATATATATATAAAATAAATACTACATCAAACTCGATATTTGTTTGACTACTAAGTATGACTTAGGTACCTTCTGTTCGATTTTCAAGAATTTCTATTTTTTTTTTTAACAGTTTTATCCACAGAGTACCTACTGAGAAAAATATAGTAACAAATGTTTACAAATAGCTAAAAAAGAGACACAAATGTTTTAAAAATTTTATCAAGTCTCAAAAAGATAAATATAGGTTTTATTTTCAAATTTAAAGTCTCTACGTATATTTATAACTAAATTGCAGCAAAACAATTTTACAAAAATTAAATTTCCTTAAAAGCCTAAAAATGGTTCAAAAGTTTTATCAATGATACCGTAAGAAATTAAATAAAAAAGGCAATCAAATAGTGTCCTTTCAATTAAATTATTTTTTCTGGTAGAAAATGTCGTCCGCGTTTTTATAAAATAATGAAATCTTGAGATGGTACGTTTTTCTACGTTTTTCCCTAATTTAAGAGCTTTTATTAAAAAAATATCGAAAATAAAAAAATTATCTAAAGATAATCTTTCAGTAGAAAGTACAATCTTAACAACATGAGGTTTCAGAAAAGGTGCTACACTTAAAAATCGGTGCAAGTTTACTAGGAAAAATCGTATCCATAGACTAGAAAGAAAGAAAAATAGAAAGAAAGAAAAAAATAAACATCTTAGTAAAACCAATAGCTCCCTCGCTACCCTTCGAATCTAAAAAGTAGAAGAAACAAATTAACATCCTTGTAAATCAATACATTTCTCCCTACGCTCCAAATCGAATAACCACGCATATTTTGTGTTGTTGGTAGGCTAATGTTGCGATTCCGAAAGTCGTGAAAGCATAGAAAAGTGCATAATTTAATCTGTAGCCGAAAGCAATGATAAATTATTGCATTCATAAAATGATTCTGAGTGGAGCTCCGTAATCAGATATACTTATAGTATGAGTATCAGTTTTTCTTTTGGCAATACCCAGAAATCAATTCAAATAAAACTGATTAAGTACGAGGTTTGCTATTAAATAACGAGACTGCGCGCGCAGAGAGCGTCCCAAAAAGGTTAGGGGAAAACCGAATACAGCGCTGGTTAGCTGGAAGTGTCTATTATGCCAGTACAAAATTAGGTTTTTGTTGGTGCATTAGTATTTTTTCTGTAGCGTTTAGAATCGAACATGTTTTTTCTTTTGCCGAAAACGATGTGTGACGAAAAACATGAGCAACGGATTAACGTAAAATTTTCTCGGTAAACTAAAAAAAATTCCAACTGAGTGCTATAAGTTGTTAAAAGAGGCCTATAGTGAGGATTTCCTATCTCGGGCGCGTGTTTTTGAGTGGCATAAATTATTTTCTGAAGGTCGAGAGTGCACCGGAATCCAATTCAGCCGTAATCCAAATTCAAAACCTTGCAGATCGTTTTCTTCGATATCAACGGCATCGTGATGACTGAATGGGTTCCGGAGGGTCAAACTGTAAACCAACATTACTATTTGACAGTTTTGACAACATTGCGCGAATGAGTTCGTAAGAAACGGTCGATATTGTGGAAAAACAAGTCGTGGATCTTGCACCAGGATAAAGCGTTAAGCGTTATTTGGCCGCTTAAGGCACTTCAGTACTCGAACACGCGTCTTACTCACCCGACTTGGCACCCTGCGACTTTTACTTGTTTCCGAAGATAAAGTCTGCCTTAAAAGGAATTCGGTTTGAGTCGATGGAAGAGGTGAAACAAAAATCGGCGGAACTCCTGAATGGTCTTACGAAAACAGACTTCCAGCACTGCCTCGAGCAATGAAAGAAACGAATGAAACGGTGTGTGAAGAGGGGTGTAGAGTATATTGAAGGGAATAATTTGTTTGTGGAATAATTTTTAAAATAAAACCATTTTTCATAAGCAGTCTCGTTATTTAAGAGCCAGACCTCGTATAACCTGATATAAAATAAATCGCTATTTTTTAAAGTTTATGGCGACCAATTCTGGACATCTTAATATACCGAAAGAAAACGATTTTTTAAAACTTGAATAAAGTTTTTTTACTTGTTTTAGAATCATATTGACACAATTACATTGTTCTTTTTTATCAATTCGAATTGACATTTTATAATTTTACTAACAATTACCTATAGAATTTAATGTCACCAAAAATATTATTTTTTTTAAACACAATCTCTTACGGTTTATATAGGCCTTATGGTAATTATAAACTGATATTATTTAACCGGGCGATTTATCTATAATACCACTTAAAGCTTACAGTAGTTATACCAAAACATTTCAACTGAGTTACCGTCAGATAAAGAGAGAGTAAACAATTTCAGACTCTCCTTACTTACGTTTCACTTGTATTTAAGCTATATACACGAGTACTTATTGTGACACTATTCCTATCTAAATGGTTATGATTATTATATGCAATTTCGATAAAATGAAATAAAACATATAAAAATAATTAAATGATAATTTAATTTATTATATAATGGTTATAGCTATTGTATGCATCGAAAACAGTATTTTAAAAGAGGATAAATTTCTTAATTTTTACGTTTTGTTTCAAGTAGTAGCCCCAGAGAATTATGAATAGAACTTGTGTTGAATTTGTTGACGAATATTTTCCCTAATGTATTATAGTATTCAATAACCTAGTTAATGAATATAGTTGCTAAATGAAAAAAGTCGAACATACTTTTTTCGATCCAAATAGTGTGTGTTTTAAGATGAAAAAAAAAAAACAAAAACAAATTGGTGTAAAATAAATAGCTCTTTCAAACTACTCATGGAATCCAAAAATTACGGAAGAGAAATACAGAGACCGATTGTCGTGCATTAATCTTGGTTCACTTACTTATAGTGCTATATACGCAATATGTATAGGTGTTAGATGTATAAGTAGATAATTATACGTTTGAAATCGATAAGCAGAAATCAGTTTACCACACACGTGATTTTAGTCAGTAGTCAAGTAAATAATTTTGTGAAAATAATTTCATAACAAACAATATTAAAGATGACGTTAACATTTTTTTATATCATTTTATTAGAATTATTAAACCAATTTATCAATGAAATTAATTTTTATTGACTGACATTCCCTATGTGGTAATATACTATACAATATTATGATAATATAGCTACCGCGTTATAAATTATAGCCTTACTTAGTAAATTCTACCGGGACCAGAGGCACAGTATACCGAGTCAGTCCAAAACTCTATATAAATGGTCGGATGGTGAGAACACATTTGTAGGGTCAAACTTTCTTTTCCCGTGTGGCCAACCAGATGGACATTGCGGTTTTGCCATTATTGTCAACGTACTAGCAACAAAATATTATCTATTCATAAACTTCGGGACGGGACTTAAAACAAAATATTAAAGTCTTAAACCATGTACAATTGTAATATTTATTTATACGTATTGATTATTTTGAGTGTCATTATTATCTAATACGAACCAAATTTATGATGTAAAAACAATTTCGTAGGATTAACGTCTAAGTAGAGAATCACTTACGTGACAAAGTTTAAAATTTTAAATACTAACTTACTAGGTAGACCACCTAAGATAGTATAATAAACAATGATGGCAAGAGCGTCAGGACAATAAGACCTATAATTACACAGGCGAAGCTAGTATTCAAGAGAAAGAAAAAATTGCCATGCGCCAACAGCATTAGTATAAGTATAAAGAAACGTTTCATAAAAGTATATGTATATAATGTGGTGATAATGGTTGCAATATTTGTATATTGAAAAAGACAGCGAAAAAATCCTTGAGTGCTTTAAAATATATTGCAGAAGGATTCTTGAACATACAAATATACCATAACACCATTCAAGCAAGGCGTATTAACATGATCGGACACAATGTTAATTTAATATGGCACACTTTGACACGAAAATGAACTAACTTAGAGAATAATCGAAGGGAAAATTAAAGTTTAGAATGGCCAAGGACGACCAATATTATATTATTGTCAAACAAATGATTTCAAACGATGAATTATCAAGCTACACTGATTTTTAAGTACTAGCTGGCAACAAGGATGTTTTGAGAGCGTATGCCACATTGTAAAACCAACCGTAAAGTTTACTAAAAAGGAGAAAAAGATAAATGATATCAATATCAATCAAGATATGACGAATATTTATTAATTAATATGATATTTATAGTAATAATAATAATACACTTTAATATATCGGATTCTTTATTCAGGCACAGACATTCTTCAAATAGGATGCGGGTATTTCCGAAAATAGCTTAATATATTACAGAATATTGCTTGAAAAAAACTAATAGTATAAATAATTTTCGGTACAAAATGATAATACTGATTTGTATTTATTATAATACACAAAATATAAATATTGACACGAGCTTGTAAAAATATAGTTTTAATTTTTAAATGTATATATAATTAAGATTTTTTTTTTTTTTAATTACCATTGATATAATATAGATAATATATCCAAACTTCCAAGTCCTAATATTGCAAATTATATTATTTTAATAGTAAAAATAAAGACTATTTATCAAAAAATCAAAAATGACTTTTAATTCAAGTAACAATTGAAGATTTAGGGTAACGTTGGTTCCACAAGAGACGCCATTATATATCCGGCATCCCCGTGTGCACGGTTCACAGTGATCTAAAACCCAATTTAGGTGGAAAAAAGTCCATTTTAAAAATGTATTAGAAGTAATATTTTATTGTATTAACCCAATATGGATATCCTACAAAATATAAAAATAGAATTTTAGATAATATTAAGGTCGTTAGCCAGATTAGGCAATAAGAATAAGTAGATAATGTTTCTATATTTACTGATATATTAACTTTTATACTCATTCGAGTTCTGTCGATTATTCTACACGTACACATTAATTTTTTTTTTTAAATTTTAGATATTTGAAAATTAGAAATGTATATCAAATACTAAGGTACGTGTTCAATATAAATAATACGTATTTTAATGGTGTTTTACATATATCATAGTTTGTAAAATAGTATAAAAAAATTAATGCTTATATTTTGAAGTGTGTAGTAAAAAATAACCAAAAATAATCGTTAAATAATTATATAGGAACTATAGTACATATTCTACTATATAAGATCCCAAAATTTGGTTCGCATCCATTTGCGTTTGTATTTTTAAAGTGCCTATTTCAAAACTGATGTAAGATTTGAATTCAGCAGTAATATAAACATATAAGTTAAGGTAAAATACCCACCTTTAAACTAAAAATTAAGAGGTATTTATTTTTTCTACCTAATATTCGGTTTCAGACCACCATGCGACTATATGGTGGATAGAGATTACTGGAGCCCGGATGATTGGTTGTGAGATGGGACAGTCTTAGTGCGAACCGAAATAATACTAAGCAGAACAAATAGAACAGTACATTTTATTTCATCTCAAACTATTGTAGTTTAACCACCGTTTATTATTATTTTGGTGAATTATTATAACAGTCAACAGTGCGTAAATGCGGTGGAACAAGACCTTCATCATCTTGGGGACCAATATTTATAGTAGTGACACGTTTATTCACGAATTAGGGAATTAAACGACAAATCCGGTTAATTTCCACGGGTCTCTCGCTACCCCATGCAATATTTATACATGTAAGTATTGTGTTTGTTCGCTCTTGCTATAAATAAATAGGTAAATATAAATATATATACGCTGACGTGAGTGTATATTTTACGAACTATGCGACCCTATAACTAGCAACCGTACGTAATGCATGATGTATATTACCGTGACACAATACACTAGCACCTATACACAGTGCGCTTTGCTCCCGTTGAGTGGATTTTAATAATGATAAATTGGAAGCGATTGTGTCGATTTTATGTCTGTGACGTAAAACTCGAATGAATATTAACTAACTATATATTATAGACTGACTAGTAAAATATTATGTACTCAACAAATGCTTCCTAGAAAATAATCTGAAATGCCTCATTTAGGTATTTATAATGTACGTAATTATGATGAACAAGATACAAAAAAGTATCTAAATACAAAGTTACTCGTACATTATTATTTTAGTGCAAGCGAAATGATGGATGTAATAAACATTTTCAAAAAAATACTTTATAAGTTTTAGATTCTGAGCTTGTGAACCGAGGAATACATATTGGTTTTAGAATGATGTTTATTATTTTTATTTTTTTATTTTTTTTTGGACGACTTTTCTATCAGTAATTTTGCTCCGATTTAAAATTATAGCACTTTTTGTGAAAGGAAATATGACTGGAGAGGTACCTTAAGGAGGTCCTTTTTGATTTCCGCGAGAGTTTTTCCAATAAATGAAGAAAAACGTAGGAAAGACGAGAAAATAGGTAAAATATTAAAAAAATATTATTAAAGAAAATTTATAATGCATATAGGTGTACAATTGTTTTACCATAATATGACATATATATTGTTAACAAAGAAACACTATCAACCTAAATCCGTTTAAAATCGTATTTTCGTTAGTTATGGTTAATCGTTGAGTATAAAAATACATTAAATGTACCATCTATTAACGTGCGAACTACTCACTAATAATAATAGTCCATTCATGTGCGACTTATGTCCGTATTTTATATTTTTGTTTCCCTTTATATACTGTTTCATGCAAAATTTAGACGACTTAAATATTATTTATTTTTAACATAAATACATTATTATAAGTATCTAAAGTTTGTGGAAAATGGCATAAGGTAAATAAAAAACTTATTTTATTAAATTATATACCTATTATAATATTATACAACATTATTTTTGTTCGTTTTTCAAAACAAAAAGGAATAATCTTCACATTTTAAACTCTATGTTTTTGCGCAAAAGAAAAAAAAGAAAACATGGCTTATAAAAAACTGCAGTATCTAGAAGAATCTTTTCTCTACTACGATTTCAGTTATTAAATTAAATCAAAGTCAATAATTTAAGATAGTTCATGTCTTTCATATTGAATTGATTTCTGCCACAGCCAGATCATATAAATAAATCGAACTTATTTATATTTATAACCTATAAATTAACTTTATAATATAATAAATCATCGACTATAAACAAATATATTTTATATTATTATATTTTGTTACCCGTAAGTTAACTACAATATTAAAATCAACTCGATAAGAATTTATCAGTATTATGGAAACCTGTCAGCTTAACTTTAACACAATTTAACATGTAAAATTGAAGATTTTAAATTTTACATACATCACATGTTTACATGGATTAAATTATATATTTTTTTTAAGGAAAAAGTATATACGTATAAACATAAATATATATCAGTAAGTTATCTGTGTATATTATTTTCTATTAAATCATAACTCATCATATTTCGTAAACATTTCAGGAACGTAAAATTAAACATTCCTATAAAAAAATTCAATGTAGGCATTTTCACAATGTATTAGACAGTTGTGTGGTGAGTGATATTTTATCTGCAAGAAAATAAAACTATTTTCTAGTACAGTAACTACCTCCTAAAAAAAATTATTACACTGGTTCATGGAGAGTTAACCTTTTACAACTGCATCATGCATAAACACAATTATAATGTTGATAATTCAATTGATAAATAAATATCAATGATGATTTTAACAATTTTTATAAATTAATTATTTAACACATTTTTTTTTTGTTATATTACAACGTCTTCAATAGAAACCTTTAAAAAATATTTTTGTTTTTTATTATTATTATTGCTTTCAAAACAATATCATGTATAATTAAAGTATGGTATATTATTTTATCAAGATAAATGTAACAAAATGAGTCTTCTGCATTATTTTTAATTTTTTTCACAAAAGTTTGGTGTATTATTTTTCTTTAGAAAACAAAAACCCTAATGTTGTTTATTAATGTTTAAACGTTTTATTTTTCGTATATGAAAACTTATATTATTTCTAAAGGTATAAAACTGTGTAACTTAATATTTGTTTCTCAGGAAGCCGCATATTCGTAAGAACTAAAGTTATTTCATAAATGCAAGTTTGATCAACAAATCATATATATTCAAATTATATAATAATATTTAAGGTAGGTTACATTCTGTTTTCGTATATGAACTTTACGTGAACATGAATGGAATTTGACATGACTTTAAGCATTATTAAAACATTATAAAATAATTTACGTTACCTATAATGTTTACACGGATATATACGCCGTTTATGAACATAAGAAACGAAATTAAATGAATCAAGTAGACGTAAATATAGTAGTACGATTGATATAATAGTTCAAAATACAAAATTGTAATTATTATTCTCCTCCTCTCCTCGGTCAGTAATTCAGATTTTAGTATAAATTTCGACGTTTGGGAATTTATTATAATAACATAATACGTTTATCACCATGGAAATTTGTTTAAAAATGTCGACAAAAATCAGATAAGTTCCGATATGTAATACAAAAAAAAGGTCTGCAACTGTTATAGGTATATCTGTACGTAAAAAATGTATACAAACGAAATACAATTTTAAATACTAATTCGGTCAAATATGTTTTGAAATGTCAAATTAAAATTGATTTCTACAGTTTTCGTTGAGTCCTTAATCAATTCTTGGTATTTCCGATTTATTAAAAAACAGCATCAAACGACATCGTACCAACTAGAAAAATATTCCTATGGAAAAAAATAATCTATATATACATTGGTGCATGAATTATGGTAGAACAACAAAATCAAAAATAATGCAATTTTAATAAATCTATCAGATTTTTCTATCCATTTTCCCAATTTTTACGAAAAAAGCATGATAAAACAAAAATTAATTTTTTAATGTGCCAATTAGATTCAAAATGCTCCAAAAAGGCTCGTTAGTCGTTTTATTTATTGGAGCAAGAATTTTAGTTCAAAAAGAATTAATAAATGTCACATCGTTAAACCAATACATTGCAGGCTACGCTCATAATCTAATACATCGCGATGTTTTAGACAGCATTGCGGGTCGTTCGAACTATTATAATATTATGGCGTAGTTGAAAGTAAACACATTTATCATTTTCACCTATGTGCGGGCAGGTTCACGTGCGAATTCGGTCGGATTTTCGTCGACAGGCCAGAAAAAAAAAAACATGGTATTATTTGCGAATCGCGCGAACACTGTGACGTATAATATAATATACCGAAACCGCACACGTGTGGTGCGGTGAATAATACAAAATATGATATTATATTATTCTTCAGTGCATTGTATATGGTGTACATGGTGAAAACTTTTTGGTCGGCCGCATACACCTACCTATAATATACAATGGTCGTACAAATGCATAACCTTTTTTTCTTGGGCGAAAAAAATAATGACGTTTTCGATGTTTGTGATGGCAGCCTTTGCGTGCGTGTTTTCGTGCACACACCAATAATAATATGCGGTCACGTGCCATCCATCAGGTCGACATCATCACTGCTATCCACTTGCAGCACTATTTTCTATCTATTATATACAATGTTGGACTAGACCATCAGGCAATATCTTTAGTTAAGCCACCAAAAAAATTTAGACAAATCTGGTAATTAAAAGTTGGATCAATAATTAACTGGAGTGAGCGACTAATCAAGTCTAATACAACACATAATGAGCCCAAAGTTATTATGATTTCCAGAAAAATTATTAATGAAAGAAAGTTTATCTGAAATTTTCAAGTGATAAGATGTTAAAACACCTTAAATTATAAATAATGCAGATTTAGTCTAATGATAATTTATTTGATGAATTTTTTCTATATTACTGATAAATTATTTAAAAAATATGTACAACATATAACAAAGCACGTTGGAATATTAATTTTCTTTACCTTGAAAAAAACACGGTTAATATCATATTATAACTATATCAATTTAATACATTCTACATAGAATTGATTTTTGGTCCAATGATTTATCGTGACTTTCAATATTTAAACTAAATGATCTTATAACTTATTACATTCTAACTTTCCCCTATCACGGTGGCTTATTCACGGTAAAAATTAAGTCCAGTTTTTAAAAATGACTTACTACGATAATACAATTGTGATAAAGATTGGAGGAAATTAATGTAAGCATACATATTTTTAATAATGAATTGTGTTTGTTAAATGTCAATAATATATTCTCGTACAATAAAATATGTAGATTTTAGTAAAATGGTACTTATTTGAAATCAATTTGTAGGAAAAATAAATCATTACTAATACCACTCCTACTGCTTTTAGTAGGTATACACATTAAATTACTTTATGTTTTATATCATATAATATCGAATTACGATAAAAGGGATTTCCAATTGCAGAGGAAATATTTGGACAACGATTATTTTTGATACAATTACATAGATATTAGTATAATTGATAAGTTTAAATTTTTGGAAGAGCACAGTAAAATATTATTTTTCTTTTTTCTGACAACGTAAAGTACATACCTATCGGGTTTTTTTTCTTTTTTATTGTATTTAATTTAAAAAATGCAATTTACGGAATTTACTCCAAATTGTCGTGATGAGTAACTAATGAATTTATAAAAGTAATTAAAATATAGTATTTAACTTATTATTAGTTGTTTTTTATAGTAATTTTGTATTAATTGGAGGAGAAACAACAGTTCTCTTTTTCAGTTACAATGCATATAATTACGAGTATAACTCATTTATTTATGTTTTATAATAGGATATATTATCCAAAAGTTGTTTTAAAAATATTGATAATATAATCCAGATAAAAATCAAACAAAAATCGTAATACAATTTTAGTAATTAGTAGATAACCTGTAAAATGTGTATAAATTGCAACTATTAGGGATAAAAAAAGAAAAAATTAATAATGAAATAATGTTAAAGGTTTTTTCATATAAAAAAGTAATCAAATTAGCTGACCTTTTCTCATTTTAAGATTGAATTACACAATTAATGAAATACTGTATTGATAATTTTGACTTATCATAAATAGGTACCTACTTATCGAAAATTAACCTATTAATTATTATTTTAAAAATATTATTTAATTGAAATTAGCTAATAAATCAATGTAGATAGGCGGTAATTATCAGTAAGTACGGTTTTTTTTCACTGATATTATTTTTTTAGTAAAAAAAAATTTAATCAATAGCTATGATAACTTTTACTAGGTAATCACGAGGATTATTTATTTAACAGGAAATTATTATATGCCTCTTTACCGATTTTCCGAATCTTGAAACTTTCATGTCATTGTGACGTTTCTCTATAAAAGTTATTTCCTCTGCTGACAATCATTGTGTCTGTAAATATATTTATGTAGGCATATATAGAACTCTCTGTTTCTAAACAGTCACTTAAGTTTGTATTCTCTAATAAACCACAATATTTATTTTAAAATTAACATTATTTAAATACCTTATTAAGAACAGTTTTATTTAAGTTTCTACACATACACATATTATTTGTGTTAATTAGAACAATACAGAGTTCGATAGTATTTAATAATAAGAAAAGATTGGATTTTTAGAACTGAACAATGAAAAGTGAGTTCGTCAAACATTTTAGGTAACTACCAACTTTTCTAAAGTACTTTTTCGTGATTTATGTGCTTAATGCAACAATCTATAGTATATGTTTCAAATTCTAAAATCGATTTATTACTTGTTAAATGATTCGTTCGTAGATATCACCTGTTCCATGTGACATGTGGAAAATAGACACACATGAGTTCCAAAAAAAAAAAATAAAAATGTTATTTTTAAGCACTTATAATGTTTAAAAATATATTATTATTCCAAGTAGAAACAATGATCCAAGTTAAACTTCAATCACTTTTCTAATAAAGCTAAGGATAAAATGGAATTTACATTGTCATTTGAAGCATATTTAAAAGTATTTATAAGCACCTAAATAAACTCTAGAAAAAAATAATTAATTAATAATGTTATTTAGAATGACATAACGAATTATTTTGTGAGCATTAATTTGAAAAAATAAATACAATTATTTCCTAAAAGTACTATCCGTATTTTTTATGTATTCATTGGAATTTTTTTTCGGATTTTCGTTCTGCCTCAAAAAATGTTACGAAATTGATTGCGGCTTTTTCGCTCGGATAGTAGTATATAGTCTGTGATTATAATACATTTTAATCTGTGAACTCATTATCATATAATAGAAAAATTAGTCCGTCGTAAAGGTTAAATATTCTATAATCGTTTAATATTGTTCTATTTGTATGTTCAATAAAAGACAAACACACATTTTCAATATGAAAAACTATAATCGCAAATATATAGATACCTATCTAATGTTTAGGTATTATGGGTTTAATTTTATTTCATTAATGTATTATTTATGTTCTGTAGTATATATTTTTGTAGAATGAAAAAAAAATGTATTCATAGATAAAATAAACAACGATTACAGTTCATTTAATGGGAAATATTTGATAAGCAAAATAAAAAAAAAAATGCTTTTATTTTTTTTTTTTATGCAAATTATAAGAACAAAAATTTCTGAAAGGCTATATTTTATTTTATAGTATTAAAACTATTTACCATTACGTAAAATGGTTGTATGTATGGAGTAGATGAATGCAATGTATTTTGTTAACACATTTTTAGAATTTATTTTTGTATAATAAAATATTATTATCATAATAATAATAAAGGATATGTAAATTAATATTATGGAAATTTGAAACTTAACTATATAAAATTGGTGCAATTTTTTATTGCGCTGTTTACAAAATATAATGTTAAAAAAAAAAAAAACGTATTATGATCATTTTTCAAAAAGAGACTTAACTTTTTAACATTTTATCGGTTTTTTCAAATGCATATAATGTGGCCTGCTGGTAAGGAATTGTATAAATTTTAAAATGTTTTTTTTTATTTATTTAACCAATATTAAAAATAGCATCTAATATGTTGAAAAATATCTGAGTGGTAATTTCTTATATTGGTATTTGAAAACAAACACGGTACTTAATCAAATTACATTGCTCGATGGCCCAATAATTTTAATTCACAAAAATCAGGTTTACTTGGATTTGTTTTATTATTATTTTTTTTTTTTAATGTACGCTAAAAATACATATATTTTTATACTCCATTCAATAATTGTTGAAAACAATAATTATTTGTTTAAAACTATGAAAAATAAACCACCTACGTTTAGTTTATATAATAGAAAAAAAATATTATTTAATAAATTCCTTAAATATCCATTCATACAAAAAATTATCTTTTCATATCATAAATCATAATATTGCTCAATTTAATCACACGATCAATAGCCTGTTAACTTTAGTTATGATTCTTATCATCATGTAAATGCCATTTTTTAACTTAGGTAATCTAACCTGACCTAATCTTTAGAAAATCTCAAGTAACTTCATTATGCATACTAAATTACTGTTTTTTTTTGCGTGTCTGTAAATAAATATCTACCAGAAATCTTGCTTCGATTATTAACTAGTGGACAATTTTGTCTAGTTGAAGAATCTCTTTATTTTAAATTTGTAAGGCAATTTTTTTTAATAATTTAGAAAAACCAATAATTACAAGTGCTTTTGCAGTTATTTTTGACTTGGCTTTTTTGTTGTAATCTGTTAAGAGATAATCGTAGGTATCTGAAACTTTTACAGATATTTATGACTTCTTTTACTAGACCATTAGGAGCTAAATAATTTGCGATGAAGACCGATAGACACTAAATATCGTAATGAATTGTTTTGTAATAACGAATTAATATGACTTTTAATTTAAGTTTATCAATACGCGTGTTTTGCTCAAAATCGTTTTCTATAGTAATGAAATATTACAGATATAATTAATATAAATAATTATGTATGTGTAGCCAACTTTCCACTGATTACAGTTACACACCCATCAATTTTTTTTAACTTTTTTAATTTTTGTGTTATCATATGTACTTATACATAGTTTTTATTTTTCGTTAGTTATCTGCATACTTTAATATAACCTATTTTGGATAGGATGTAAAAAATTATCTTTAGTAGACATCACCTTGGATGCTTCCACCCTGGTCAAGTTGTCTGTAATCCCTATCATATTGTATAGCGATGTTGAGTAACTATGTTTTTTTCGCGGCTGTTGCTTTTCTGTACTCCTGTCAGTCCCGTAGTGTATACGCAGTGCAATATAATATAATATAAACTGATTCGGGTTTGTGTCTATCCTCGAAAACAATAATCTACACGTGACTGGGTTTCAGAGACGTGAGCCGTCGTCGGTTGTTAAAATCATTTCTAGCCAAACAAACATTTTCAGACATTCGGCTCTACGAAACTAGCTATATTATTTTATAGTACGATTATAATTTAATATAACAATAATGGAAATTTCTTAATAATTTTTATTATCTTTATCATCCCATAATGGTAATCGTTTTGTTATCGGTAAAAAATTTTGATACGCTTCGCTGAATACGAATATGTATATTTAGTTTGGAGTATCATAATAAAAATAATAATTTTTTTTAAAATCTATTATAGATACGCTTTTTTTTTACCATACAGAAATACCAAATAACACTAGTTCTTTAGAATGTATATTGCGACATATTGGGTTTTTTTAAATGAACCGCAATTTTGTATTTATCAATTTATAAAAACATAAATATAATCGTTTTGTTTTTCAACTGAAACTTCGTAACCATTAAATTTAAAAAAGATTAGTGGAAATGTCTTTTTTTAGAGATAATCATAAAAATGTTCAAAATAATTTTAAAATTTTATAAAATTTGAGAAAATATTAAAAGCGACATCATGATGTCGTTATAATTTCAATATATTAAATGGGGTTTTATAAATTCAAAATCAATATTACAAAAAATATCGTTTTATTTTGTTCATCTAAAAATTATAATTTTTCCTTTATGTTTTTAAAATTAGCAAATGAATTCATATTTGTTTAATTATTTCACTAACATCGTTTTATTTTAGCATGTCGGATTCGGCTGACTCAGAAAATTTAAAAGATGATTAGAGGTTCCGCTCCTTATTATCAAATGACTATTGAAATATCGTTTGAAAGAATAACTGAGATCGACTATATAAAAATGTAAAATTAAATTAAATTTTAAGAACGAGAATATATTAAATTAAGTCAGCTTTTGGAGATTTTTTTTATTTAGTATGTAAATATTATAAAATATAAAACTTGGATAACCTCTATTGATTTTTTTATGTACCACTATATTCGTTAAAAAAAAATATTTAAATATTTATGATTTATTGCAGTTCGTGATGAAAACATAATAATTGTTTTTTATACGTAAAAATATTATAATATTATTATGTAAAATTTCGCTTATTGGAATAATATACTATATTATTGTATAATAATATGGTATTTTTTAACATACAATAATGATTTTACAAAAAAACTAAGTATTTCTGTGAGTTTATGAATTCTATAAGAATACTAGGTATTCTGTTGTTGTTTGGGTATGCTCTGGTTTTGTAGCATTACTGATGTAGTTTTACAAAAAGTTGAATATATTTATTGTATTTCTGTGTGATACCATACAAAATGATAATAAAGTTCGAGGATGGAGGAAGAAAATGCACTCTGTAGTCATAGTTATATATTCATTTCGGTATAACTACACACAATTGTTATTATTTGAATAGTATTTATTATAGTTTTATACCGTTGGAAAAATCTAAATCGACTTTTAGATACAAATTGTATGTACTCGCGTGCGATTTTTTTATTTTTATTTATCATTATAATTTTCAATGAAAACGTTGAACAAATTCGATAAAAGTATTTAAATCATATTTTTTAACGATATCGATCGTTCTAGTTATTATCATTTGTAAGGCATTATCAACATAATATTACTGTGTAAAATATTATCATGGTATAATAATTTCTTCAAATCTCCACCCCTTACACAATTTATAACCGTTATCTAAAATATAAAATTACTTTTTGAGAAAACTTTTTAGACATGCTTTTTTATACCATATTATTATATATTCTAGATATTAAAAATAATGTAACGTATTAAAACCAACAAAACAACCAATATTACACATCATTGTTAAGCTATTAGAGTTTTTTTCAGTCTATTCGGAATAATGCCAATTAATAAGTCATTTTAACTAAAAGTTTGAAATTTGCTATAAAGAGTGTTAGCATTTATAAGCAACACTAATTATTATTTAGGGCCGGATAGCATTGAGTTTGAATTCCGTTTTCGGTAGATGAAGTACACACTGTTAGATAAATTTAAAATTATAACCCAACTTTAGATTACTGTATTTCAGGTAATTTTTGAGATTAAATAAACTTAAAACAAATTTAAAATGGTATTGTTTAGTGTGTGTTTAAAATTTAAATATGTATCCACTATTACTTCCTAAATACAAAAATAGAATTCTAGGTCATCTGGTCGAAATACTGTAACCTAGTAACTTGAACACACAATACAACGGATACAATTATAATATACCTACATCGTCATACTTGATAATATATTATGAAGATAGATTAAAATTTAAGAAGAAAGAAGGGAGGGAGGTAGGAAAATCGTAATTCGTTTTTGTCTCGTGTAACTATCTATACCCACGGTCAAACCATCATAAAGCTGTACTAGAAACTATATTATTGCTGCAGTATAGTCGAGGGAATTGTGGAAATCCGTTTTGGGTCCCATGTCCGGATAACTTTTACTATGTCGGATGGATATAACTTTGATGAGTTAGAGCAAAGTTTCACAGACAAAAGTTTTTTGCGTGACCATAAATTACGTGGAAATAGACAATTTTGTGTATAGGGTTAACATTTTCTTCTCTTCTTGCTTCGTGGTAGAAGCTGGAGGGGTTTTCTGAAATGAGAGATTTTCAAGATTGTCAATATATTAGAAATTATAGTGTACTACGTAGTATGTTTTGTACTGCACTTTTCGGTTATCACATTATAATACGAACATTATGATGATGTAACTTTATGATTAATTAGTTATATATCTTTCGAATGACTTGACAAACTCTGGACAGTATTTTATTTTAAGCTTTAAAAGCTGCAAGTATTTGCACGTCTAATGAAAATACTGTCGTTAATTGTTATCAAAAATGATCATTAATATAATTCTCTAGTGGATATAGAATTCCTGAAAAACGAGCAATGTTTATTGCAACGATACATATACAATTATGTACTTGCACACTACACAATTATTCGTAAATAATGTGCAAAAACGCCAAAAATAATATAAAATTCTGTGGGTTTAGTAAGAAATATTGGATTAATACATTATATTACATTATACACTGCCTAGTTTTCTTTTTATTCATAAAGAGAAAATATAACGTTTTATATATTTTATCCATCATCGCTCTGTGATTTTCCGAGTTATATTTTATTCATACTAGACTATAATGAGTAATATTTTGTATTAATTTACTCAAAAAAAAAAGAATATGAAATAAGAAAAAACCAAGAAAAGAAAATTTAAAAAATATTTACTCGTCCTCGGGACTTAGCAACCGTAGAAATATAAAAACACATATTTAACTTTTTTAAAATTACCTAATTTACCATTATTTATTTTTGCGTTATTCTCAATGTTATTTTTTAAAGTCAATTATAATTTGTGTTTTTATTAAAAAATATTAACTATATACACACACTCGTAAATATATATGAATAATTTAAATAAAAATGCTTTTGATATTTCAGTACCTAGGAACTCAATAAACTAGTATGCAGCGTTAAACGATTTGTTTTGTATGAATAATTTAAATAGGTATCTTTCTTTAAATTTTTTATTTAAAAAAAAAAAAAAAAAAAAAATGGACCCCAAATGTGCCATTTTAAATAATAGAGAAGAAGTATACGAGGAACAGTATATTAATTTATATTCACAGGTGCGTATTTTTTTTTTTTTTACAATTTTAATTAAAATATTTGAATACAAATTTTTTCTGGCGATTAAATTACGCAGGTATATGTATAGATTTTTTAAAATATAAAAAAAGAGCTGATCCCGGAGATGGGAGCGACCACCGTTCGAGATGAGAGGTTGAAAAGTTAGGATACATATGGTTATTTCATTTATATCTGTAGGCAACCATAAACCATTACTTGCCGAAAGCAGTTAGGCATTACACAAATTGAAGTGCCGTAATTTTTTTTTAAGATTTTCGTTTAAATTTGATTTCAAAATGCTCATTAAAAAAAAAAAAAGTCGTCTGATGTTTTTGTATATTTTACTATATCTAGGTAAGTCCAATATTAGTATTATTACTAAGTTTCAAGTCTCTGAGTTTATTTATAACTGAGTTACATCAAAAAAGTCCCAAAAATTAAAATTCCTTAAAATCTCAAAAATGGCTCAAAAGTTTTGGCGATGGTACCGTAAGAAAGTAAATCAAAAGGCAACAAAAAAGGTATTTTGTGGTTTTTTCGATTAAATAATTTTTTCTGGAAGATACATCATCCGTGATTTTATAAAATTGTGAAATTGTTTGTTTTTCTACGTTTTTTCCCTCTTAAGTAATTTTATTTAAAAAATGGCCTCGAATATCAAAAAAAAAAAAACGATCTATGCATAATCTCTTTAATGTAAAATCTAAAGAACTGGATGTTTCAAGTTGCCACCCGTAAAATTCGGAGCAAGTTTACTAGGAAAAAAACGTTTCCACAAACTAACACAAAGAACAAAGAAATAAACAGCATTGTAAAAACAAGAGCTCCATTGCTACCTTCGGAATCTTATAACAACTAAGATATAGAGATAATTTCTATTTTAAACGCGCTTAAGGAAATAAGTCATCTTATCATCATATATAATTGTCCTCGAGATAAAATAAACAATTTATTTATAACATTTATAGGTATATATATTTTTATAAAGTTATTCCTGGAAAAGATAAAATTCCATAATAGAAGGTTACAGAATTTTTAAATTTTTTTTCAATATTATACGGTAATAATATTTTTGATTCGTAATGAATACAGCAATTTCATAGTAATTTTAATGAACTTCAATGAATATAATGGAACGTGTTAAAAAAAAAAACCCCCCGTTGGTAGCAGCGTAGTATCAAACAAAGAATTATTTGTGATTCATCAATTTTTCGACTATGTAATCGATATTTTCACTATATACAGGACAATCTACATGACGAAAGACACTCATTATCACGAAACGTATTAATTTTTTTCGGGATTAGCTTTTTAAAATAGTCAGAAATTAGAGGCTCTGAAATGTTAAAATAATCTTTTTTTTTGCTCCCTTGTTCCAGGGTAGATGAATTAGCTACTTAATTTTGATTTTTTAACGGCAACCTATATTAAAAATTATATTAATAGACGGGGTACTGACTCTAACAAATTCTGGTGTTGACATTTTTAATTTTCAGTTGACGAAATATTCCACTTTTAAGTTTTTGCGGGGGTTGAGCAGTGATACATGATTTGTGTGGCAGTACGACGCGCGGGGTTTTTTTCATAGTGTCCGAGAACTCTTTTCCCGCCAAAATTTAAAAGTGGAATATTTCGTTAACTGGTCGACGGAAATTTAAAATTTCCTCACCAAAAATGATTTAAATTAATACTCCGTATGTTGATTGAATTTTGAATATAGACTGCCGTTTGAAAATCAAAAGTAGATATAGCGATTTCGCCCTTTAAAATAAGGGTGAAAAAGAAATGTAACATTATTATAATCTACTAATTTCTTAAAATGTTCTGAAAAAAAAATTCTGAAAAACGTCAATAACTTCCGATACAATAATTGTCTTACGTAATGTCGATCGCGAATCTACAAATAGAGATTATCGAATTTAATTATATTTGTTCGGAGGCATAAGTTGGTAAGCGGACGGCATTCGTTTATTACCTATGACCCTTGCATAGATATATTAATATATATATATTTATATACAGGTGCATATTATTATATGCAACACGAGCTAGGCATTTTATTCTACTCGGGCGATTATAATAACTAAATAAATATTATACAATATTGGTGCGTGTATAGAAAGTTTGAATAAAAATAGGTTAAATACCCGAAAACCGTTCGTATTGTTTATGGGGGAAAAAAAAAAAAAAAAAACAAATATCGCGTACAATCGTCTTTTTCCATCTTTCCCGAAACGTTTGTTGGCCTTGTACAATATAATATACGAATACCCATAAAAACACACACATACATACACACACAGTCATAGTGCACATAGATAAATACATATTTATACGTGTGTATGTATTTTATACCGCGATACATGAAACATTATTCGAGGACGGGAGATAATGAAGAGTGGGGTGGACAAAAAAAAAAAAAACCATCTAAAATACTCATTGTTGTGTTTAATAGCCGGGTTCACGAACGTACCACGACGACGTTTTCGGTGAAATTTTGCGCGCGTTTTCGCGCGGGGTCGCGCAACAAATCATGATTTATACTATAGATTACGTTAACTGCATTATATTATATTATTCTCTTCTTCTGTGGTCGTAGCCTCTCGAAATGGAGTTATTCCATTTATCACGGTGGTCACACACGACACGACACGCACGCACGCGGGGATAAGAAGAGAAATGTACACCGTGTATATATATATATATATAAGTTTTGTTTTGCCGTCGCGGGGTTATGACGTTTAAAGTGTATAAGTTTTCCGGATTTCACCGAAAATAACACGTACTGACTGACTAACTGGGTCACTATACAGTAGTAATACTACTACTATTACTACTACTATTACTACTAATACTACTAATTCTACTACTAATACTATTACTACAGAACAGTGCAGTTTCGAAAGCGTAAATATAACAGTAATATTATAGTCGACTTATTAGCTTCCACACTATCGGGATACACGTAATAATATTATAGTTGTCTTCCATGTTTTTCATGTCCATGCGAGTGTGTGTGTGTGTGTGTACGTGCGCGTTATGGCTAGTTTGTTTGTTTATTTAGATGATGATTATAACAACATAATGAAATTAGATAATTTATTTTACTGGTTTAATTAAAATATAAATGTATAAATCGATGCGGATATACTGTGTCTTTGCGTATGGGCGACCCAATATATTCAGCCGATTTTTACGCGACCTTTTTGAAAATAATTTTCAACGAGGGGGGGCTACCCTTTCTGTACAACCCATTTAGTGGTCCGATTACCATAACTAAAAGAAACCATTATTGCCTTCAATTTGTTTTTAAAGTTATATATACGACTAAACGTGTAATGTAATATTGTGTAGTATTGCGTGAAGTTCACAATATTGATAATTGACATCAAAACATATGCTGGAACAACGACATCAAATTTAATCGCATCCGTGAATGTTAACCGATAAAGTGTATTTTTATGGCATTGATAGTTCATAGTCCGAATTTATGAATTAATACTTGTTCGTTCAGAAAATTAATTTACGAAAAATGTTTCGTTTAACTTTTTATCGAAATTTCCGACTTTACTCGAACCTGCCAACGTCAAAAATATCAAATATTATACATTTTTACACATTATTTGTTTAACATATGTTTCTCACGCGTTGTTTTAAACCAATTGTTTCAGTAGAATGTAGTTTTTTTTTGCTCACTATTTCCTATGTATTTTAACTCTTTCTTACCTGTAAAGCGATTGTAGAACATAAGGCGAATCACTGGAGAATTGTATTTCCTAATTCTTTCCACACCTATGCAGCAGTTGCAGATCAGACACCATAAGCGAGCTGCTGTATTTGTCATTTTTTTTTTAACTGTATTTTCTCATAATTGGTAGTTTAATTACTTGTCACTTCGCATTTATAATGCATTAAAACGTTTTTATTTATTTATTTTGAGCCTATCTCCAGGCTATACACAACGTATTAGCACGACCTAGTTTAAAAGTCTGTAACATTTTATCTAGTGGCGCCGACTTATATTTCATTTCGTGGGTCGAAGAATAAAAATGACTTACCATGACCCACTTGGGGCAAAATAATGACCGACCACATGTATATATTGTAAGTTCAACTATCACAAAGCCGCTCTTTTCGCTCGAAATTTATCACTCCTATTTAACCTATTAGGTACTGATTAATTATTAGTACAATCATCCGGCACCACCACCATAATTAAATGCAGGGGTGAACCGCCACATAAAAGTACGTGTTCGGTGCTATTAATTCTATTGGATAGCTAGTATTTTGGTGTCTATATGCCTAAAGGTAACAGTTAACACTTAAATATATACTAGATATCTCTTAGCTTAAAAGTATGTAACATTGCGTCAGAAGTTTGCATTGAAGTTTATCGAACAACTTTTTCACCAAGATGAACACTCGCCATTCACTATCCATCACCGAATGAATTTATTTAAAACCACCAAATAAGACAGACATAATAAATATTGTAAATTGGTTTCCTGGTTTTTTACATTTGCTGGGAAAACTGTAAACTGAGAAAATTAAAAAAATGATCTCCCTCAAGTACCACCCCAAGAAAATTTCTTTTCAGAAAAGAGGCTACATCGTATTCATCGAAGTTTTTGGTAGAAAAAGTGTTCACATAAAAAAAAAAATATTAAACATCTTTGTAAAATCAATACATTCATCGTTAAATTTAGTATCTAAAAACCGGTATGTGTTAAGGGCGCCAAACACGGTCAGTTATGAATGTCAGTTTTTGTGACTGCCACTCTTGATTGACCGTTTATTTCGATGAATGTCAATTTTTTTTGTGACTGATGAATTTCAAACAAGTTTGATTTTTTATTGTGAATCAGAGTGATTGACAATCATGATTGACCATTTGTAGTAATGATTGATACGCGTTTATCATTCAAAACATAATATCATACCTGTATAACGTGCTTTCTTAACAACATAATTAATATCTAATAATTATTTATAATAATACTTTTATTATTAATAATTATTATAATAATCGTTAAAGTAAGTTTGTTTTAACTACACTTAATGTTTTTTTAAGTATTAATATACATAAACTATACTATGATATATTATAGTATAATATACTGTGCAAGCTTTTTCATTTGTATGTATAATAGGGTATAGGTATCTCACTGGTCTCGGCTATCCGACTTGTTTCTCGTCGACTTATATATACTCAATCATGTATAGAGTTTTATTTGAAGTATTTTGCTTTTTTTTTTCTTCACTGATCAGTGAATTATTATAAGCACTATCTACTCGTATCAGTGGCGTGCGATAGTATTGGAAGTTGGGTAAACGCCAGAAAAAAAAAAAAAAAGATAAAAAAGGTAAATTATTAGTTATTAATTAGTAAGGTAAATAAGAAAAATAAAACGGTTTTATATAATGTATAGTATTTCTTGACCTGTTTAAAAATAAAATCCATTTTTCTATCTTTTCTCAAAAATTCATTGGTAACTCAAACATAAAAATATGATTTTTTTTTCAATCGATATTTTCGACAAAGAATTTAGTTTATCTTGATTTTGTGTTGATATTTGCAAAGATTTGATCCGTTCCATCGCTGAAAATGACCTTACAACTGAACAAGAAAGAAACCCAATTATCGAACGTTCGGTATCAGAAAATGCGTATCTAAAAGTATTTATAAGAGCTTGTTGTAGCGCTCCCGACTGCTGCGTAAAATCGTGGTCACCCCGCCTTACCGCACCCGGCTATACCTGCTATACTAGATACGAGCTAGGTAATCGAAATCCTGAGGGCTTTTGTCAATGTATTGCATACCTATATGATCTTCCGATTATTACCAATTGTTTTAAAACCATAATACCGATGATGGAGTATAATTACAGATGAGTATATTATATATACAATTAAAAGAAACTTATATTATAATAATATATTGCCTATTGACATAATGAATTAAAAACATTTATTTTTTTTTACTTTTTGAGCGGGCACGCGGCGCTTGTCTCGATCGCCCTGACCGCATGCCACTGACTCGTATTAAAATATTATAGTATTTATGGGTACCGTGTGATCCGAACAGTTTTACCAACGGCGGCGGCGGCGACGTGTCATTGCAGGCCACCTGACCGTCTGATACCATGATGACGATGTGACGTCACGGACGGGGCAAAAACAATGACGTCGGTAAAATCGCTACGCACGTGACGTCGTCGACCGTCCTCGCACGTCACGGTGACTGACGTTCCTCCCGCCTGCGGTCGGTCGACCGCACTGCACTTTGGCGGAGCGGTAGTGCAATTTCCGCGGAAAACACCGATTCAGAATAATTTAATTTTTGAAGGTTACGGACCTAACTCCCCACTATCCATCCCGACGCAGTACCACCATCCGTTCACAGTAATCAGCTGATTCCCGGCGTTTATACTGTTTATTATTATGATATTATTATAGTTTTGCGTATCGGAATTATATAGTTTATGAATCATTTCGTGCCCAAAACTGTACAACGACGGCAATGCATACGGTGCCGAAATCGTTACAACAGTCTGTGTCGGGGTTCTGAAAACAAATCGATCTCGTCTGGTCCGTACAGAAAAAAAAAAAAAAAAAAATTAAATATACCGCATTTGTAAATGACAATTACTCTTATATTGTTCTGAATTATTCTTTAGGTAGGTTACAGACGAAAGTCTACGTAGGTCTTTGAAAAAAATCGTACTTCATCGCCCGCGATCTACGAACTGTACAGATATAAATGACTGACACTATAAACAGTGTTGTTTAAAGAAACGTTTTTAAATACCTTGATAAACGTATACGAATTTGCAATATTTTTATCTCGACTAGAAAAATAAATGTTTATAATTTCAGGCGTACAACTAAATGATAAAAGTATTACCAAATTTGGTTTACATCCAGATCAAATGTGGATTGAATGTAGAACTATGGTTATTATAAATAGGTAATAGTTGTTTTGTTCAATGTTTTTAAATTTATTTTCGGATGCAATTATACAATTAAAATAGAACCTGTTTGAATTATAGTTGATGATTCAATAAAATATATTGCATAAAAAAATCGAAAAACCATACATATAAATTAATTAAACATATTAACTCGTATAAAGAAAACATTTTGACTTTCACTTAATAATAATATAATAAAACGTGTTCTATCACTTATAATTTTCCATTACAATACGAACGATATTGTAATATATTAAATATCTAGTATTGGCAATAAACGATCGGGTGTGACACTATACAACTACTAAGCCCCAAAACAATCAACATTTGTTAATATCACACGCTGACCACTAGAGCGTACTAAACTCCAGCATATTAATTATCTATAACACACTTCTATGCGCCGCGCCTTGGTCAGCGTCGGTAATAGAGAGGGGGACCCAGAAGGCCTATATAGGGCGCCGTACGCGTAATTTTCATCGTTCTCCTTCTCATCCCTCATCTCTTACTTACACAATTTTATACAAATTTTCTCACCCAAATATAACCAGATTGCAAAGCCATAGGCGGACTGTTATATTTGATGTACCTATCCACACTAGTACAGTGGTTGCAGAACCTAAGGCGGGCTGCCGTGCCTGTGATCCCGATTCGTATATACTTATCTATTGTGTATGTTACGTTGCATTGCCCTACATTTAGCCGTAGTGAATCTCTATAGTATCCCGCCGAAGTGCAATACACAACTTGTAATCGTATAAGTGAATTTCGGAGAGCTAACTTACGCTTTATGCCGTTGACCTTCGACCAATTTGCCATTGACTACAACAGTTTGACTATACGCGTGGAAAAGCGGTAAACGAAAAAAAAAACATCCACGCTTTCAAAGTGCGGCGCATTGAACACTCGCGTTTGCATTGGGTAATTTGCGTAAGTGTACACGTCGCGACGATTCATCGACACCCACGCCCATCCATATTCCAACTCACGCACCCCAGCGACGATTCATCTACGGGTCACGTTTGCCTTGCCTATCATATCGCCTCCGGCGATCTTCTGGCGAACTTCAAACTTGTTTTGCTGACCAACGAGGTAAGCGAATGTTACTTTACTCCCGCAATAGAACAGCGTTTAGATTTTTCACGGGCCAGGGCAGACGATCGCGACACACGGGAAACGTTCATTCGCGCATTGTTTCGAACACACACTCGCACAGAACGGGCCGGTCTCCGAACGGGACCCCAATTATAACCCATACCGCGCGGTTTGATTTTTACCACGCGCCATACGTACACGTATAGTATACCGCGTCACGGCATCGTATTTGGCTGTCCGCGCGCCGCGTAAAACCGTCGACCGTCACACCCCTACGCCGCACACCGTTCTGCTCGGAAGTTTGTTTCACTCTTACTGCCGTGTGACAAGTAGTGGATCCGCGCACGATGGACGAAATAATATTAACGCCAATACCTATGTTACCCCGCGCGCACGAAAATTCTCCCTCGACCTCCTTCGCCCACTTCTCCATTTTGAATTTGCTTTCCCACTTTTTCCTTATTTTTCCCTCTTCGCCAATGCTTCTGTTCTACTACGATATATTCGAACATATTCCATTTTTTTTTTGTTTTTTTTTTTTTTATATAAAGGGTTCTGAATTTTATTTTGTTTTAATGTTATTCGTTATTGTGTTTACGGCGCTGTTAAATTTTGACGTTAAAACACTTTGTTTTTAATGCAAATTAAACGCACAAGATTGCACGGGATCGTACGAGTTTTACATTTTTTTTTACAAATGATATATTTTTTCTTTTGTTAGTGTTTTTAAGTTCTAAAAATATAATATAAATTCATCCAGTATGTTTTATTTATTTATTTTTTTTTAATATAAGCTTAAGTACTCGTCGAGAATCGTTCATATTTTGTTTGAACTCGAATTTATAAATTATAAACTACGTTATTTAAACGTGACGTTGTATTATGGATTCACATCACTAATTAAAATAGAATACATTTTTTTTTACGTAAATTAAATCACGATCTCGAAGAACATAATACCAATTTTAAATAATAATTATGTACGTATAACATAATACAGTTCAAGAATCGAGGAACTTGAATATTTTGGGATGCAATCAATTTATTTACCCAGTATAGATGGATAATGGTAGTATATGCAAGGTAATTTAGTTTTTTTATTGTACATTGAATGCAAATGAAAAACGACGGATATACTTCGCACGTGGGTGTGCCACTGTTGTAGGTGGGAATTCGGGAAGGTAGGATAACAACGCGAATTCAATGTATGTCTTTAAGCAACGATAAACCATTGCTAACGAAAAAAATGATTCCGAGCGGAGTTCAATTGATAGTGTTTGTCAACAATATGCATGTCATATTACGGTAAAATGATTACAATAATTGCAGTTTCCGTGACAACCATGATTGTTTAAAAAAAAAAAATTAACAACTTGATAATCACAACTAATTACCAATAAAAACTTATAATTACTAATAATAGCGATAAATAAATAAAAACACGGTTTGCTAATCGTTACAAGACAAAATAGACAACGTGTTTACTTGGTATTAGTTGGTCGTTTATTTCGGGTTAACTGATTTTTATTCCACGGACATACAGTTATATATTGTGTATTTAAAATTAAAACGGATATAAAACGTTAAAACGTTTACAACGAAATGATGATATCTATTCGCACAGTGACACTTGAGCACGATACAATACAATGCGATGCAATGGCATGGACAACACTTTTATAAATGTGGGCGGCGGCTCAGGATACAACAGCCCGTTCGCGGGCGAAATGCCGCACGAGTAAAGTTTGCTACGGTGGTGTGCCGTAGTCCGTACACGTACCGAATTCGTGCGCGATCGTGGTGGCCGACCTGCCGACCACGGGTAGGCCACAGAATGATCGGCAGGAGAAGTGACGGCGTCGAACACAAAGACTGTACCCGCCTGATCCGCGGACCGGATCTGCTTCCGTGGCACTGTCTATATAAGTATTGCGATCCACACGTCGCAAACGAAAACGCGCCAGGCGGCGGATGATGATCAGTCGATGTAGATCCAGTCGATGTAGATCGAGTCGACTCGGCCTACGGGGCACGACGTCGCTCCGTGGCACATTCCAATGACCAGAGCACTGGCCGCTCTGTCATGGACACGGAGTGCAGACTTGTTATACTTACCTATTGTCTGCATGATCGCCTGCAACATTAGGCCGTCGCGGCCGTATAGGTGTTGATCATGACTACCATCATGTTGCAGGGAACGATGCCGATAATGGAAATTCGGCCTCTATATGTGTATGAATCGCCGTAACCGACCGCAGTAGCGTACTTGTTGGTACCGTGGTGATTAGTATGCTATTGCGCGTTGCGATACACGTGTCGGTTGGCAGCGCCCTCTATGTGTAGTATACGGGGGATCCGCGCTCTCGGAACGGTTGGTTTAGTCGCGTTGGTGTTGGCTGGGTGCGCGCTTTGTATTATGAGTTATGTTGCACGGTAACGCAGAACTGCGCCGTTACACAATGACAACCTTATTTTTAATTATTATATCTTTTTTAACTTAAAGAACCAGGTTATCATCATTATTTCGAATATTAATTAGAATTTCAAAAAATTACCTCTTTAAAGTATTACTCAGAGAACATTTTTTTTAGAACAAGTTCTATAATTGATAATTGGAGTAAGCTTTCTGGTAGAAAAAGTTTTACGAGGAAAAAAATAAAAATAATTGTAAAACCAATACATTATCTAATATGCACAATAATTACACAATAATAATACGAGTATATAATCCGGAAAGTTATAAAATATACAATTTTGAGTAGAATAATAAAATATAATTTAATTATATTATATTGTTGTTATTTTAGATTTTTAGTGGAGCAAAGAATGTTTTGGTTTTACAATAATAATAATTTTTCCTTGCTGTGGATATGTCTACCAGCAATTTTTTTTGATTTTTAATGATAGCACTTTTTCTAATAAAAAATCTGGCTGAGTGGTACTTTAAAGAAGTCAGGTTTTGATTTTTCCAAGAGTTTTTCCAATAAATGTAAAAAAAAACACGGGAAAAATGGTAAAACAGAAACAATATTATGCACACATTATTAAACAAAATTTGTAGCTAATGCATCTTTTTATCATAATGTGACAAATATATTGTTAAAAAGCTATACTATTAACTAAACTTTACTCAGAATCGTTTTTCATTAGTAATGGTTAATCGTTGCATATAGATATTCATTAAATTTCCCTTCTACTTTACCAATTTTTCACACACAATAATGGTCCACCCCCGTGCGAAGCATGTCCGTCTTTCTTCATATACATAAAATATACTCTAATAAAAACTAAATTAGGATAAACAGAATATACCTTCACCCAAACTTATATGCCTAAAACACTAGTCTACCAAATCTACTAGTCTATTACAGAGGCGCTAGGGTGATTGCCTCCTTTGTATCTAACTATTAAATATTTTAATATTTAGATTTCATGTAGGTATGATATTACAAAAAAAAGAAGTTTAAAATTGTATCTTCATAATTTTCAACGAAAAAACAAAATTAAAATTATTTTATGATCCATAAACAAATGTTTACTGGTCATCAGAATATAACGGTTAAAAAATATTAAGTTTATTTTAATCATGCAATGCGTACGTAATAAGTAGATCTAATAATGTTTTAAATCTAATAATTTTGTTTTATTTTAAATTTATTTCATATGCTTTTCTTAATTTTTGTAAAGATCATGGGTATCAAAAAGAAAAGAATTAAAGAAACACGATTAAAATTGTATGCATACTTTGGTTTATTTTTTAACCAAAAAACTTACATTGGTGACCAAGATAGTATACTAGGTGAAAATTATCATTGAAGAATGACCAAAAAGTAACATTGGCCGAAAAGGGAAATGTTCGTTTTAGCCGAAAATATCAATGTTTTTTTTTACAGTCATATTTTAATCGTTTTGAAACTCACAAAATCCATATTATGTATTCTGAGCTACGTTAATAAAAAAATAAAAAAAACCACCCTTATAAATTATTATTGTATCTTTTACAGTTCCTAACAGACTATAATACACGAGTAATAATATTATAAATATAAAATAGAGTTTAAAAATACTTTTTACGATTCTGAAAAAAAAAAAAAAATCCGATCTATATTCTATTCGATGATTTATTAAATCGTATACGTTAGATCTATCATCAATCACGGTTTATTTTGATATTTCAGGGACTGCTAAATATTAAAACGTCTTTTATATGATGATGAGGATTGGGGATGTTCGTGATCGCGTTTCGGTAGTATTTATATTTTATAATGTTATTCGCAACGTGTACGTCATAGATGTGTACACGGGGTCGGAGATAAAAGGGGGCAAAGGAAATGGGGAAGGAAGAGGAGGTTGACATTTCTTCAAACATAGAAATTTGAACCCAGTCGACCATTCAACGATAATTTAGTTTTAAATTCGAAAAAACTAATTATTTATTTTATGCCGTTTTATATTGTTACATCGTGAAATGTATTACCTATCAAAGGACAAACTAATGGGATATAAAACATTTATCGAAATCCGTACATTTGGTATATTATGGCGTCGGGAAATTTTTAATCACACCTCTCTATCGATTTTTGTTAACACCGTGGCTCTGTGCGTTCTCCAGACCACCAATAAAATAATAATGTATTCCGTTTTTAATTTCAAACGTTTATTCGAATTTTACTCGAATAATAAGTTTCTAGTGTAATGATATTATTATTTTGTAGGACATATTATTATATACGAGTAATATAATCGAATGCAATAAATAATAATGTTTTAGTCGTTTGTAAAAAGCATCATGATTTAACGCGTTACCGACCTAGTACCTACGTATAATTAAAATATTATAATAATAATGTGGAGGTTTAATTAAAACGAGATCGTTTCGTTTATTATAATAACGTTTAATATAGGTGGTTATAAGTACCTCTACATAAATAATAATAAATTTAAAATAAATAATTAACTTCTAAGAGCGGGTATACCTGTAACTATATTCCTTATCATGCATATAGAACTAAAAAATAGTAATTTATTCGTATTTTTATGTATTTATAATAATGGCAAGTAACATAATTTTGGTCTAGTGTCTAAAACAATTGAGATATGAAACACAGCCTGGTAAACAATTAATTAAAAAATCGTTCAATTTTAAATATTTGTTCGATTGTCACGGAAACAGTATATATTTCTTGACATTTATGTGACACAATAGAAATATTATTTTTGTTATTATATTATATGCAATTGAAAATATTATGTATTTAACTATTATAACATAATATTATATCATATAATATAATAACGCGTTCTGTGTAAAAATTAAATAAAACAAATACAATACTGATCGAAATGCCTTAATTTTTACGATTTTTGTCACCATTTTAATCGGAAAAAAAACTTAAAATAAAATCACAACATTACGCTAAACATTTTATTTTACCATCAGGTATAACTTATGATAAATACTGCTTATAGCTATAGTTTTAATTTAAGATTCTGAGGGGAAAGAATAATGAATTGGTTTTACAATAATGGTTATTTAATTAATATAATTTTTTTTTTTGTGATCATTGTTTCCACTTTTTATCTAATACGAAATTTTATCTGGATGGTATTTTATACGAGTAATTTTTTTAGATTTTCAAGCGGTTTCCGAAATAATTGGGAAAAATCAGGAAATAACGTAGGAAAAACGGAAAAATTTACCAAATATATGATATTCGATTTTGGTTTTTGTTGTGATTCAGTTAAAAATATTTTTTAAAAAATTAAAAATTGAAAGAATACTTATATTTCCCATTCTTGATGTGATAAAAATGTCATGTCTACGACTATTTTTAACTCAATAATAAAAATAAAACAAAATCAATAAAATATCATAAAATCATTTTCGTAAACCATCCCAATTTTTTTTTATCGTTTTTCCAAATTATCAAAGTATCATATATAAATAACAAAGCATGGCTTTCTTATGCAACAATTGATCAGAAAAAAATTTTATCTCAGAAAATATTCTACTATTCGGAGCATGATTTCTGGTAGAAATATAAAATTGAAAAATCTATAATAATTACAATTTTATTAAAAGTTTGTTTTTTGTTTTTCCAATAATCATGAATATTGCTTAGAATTTCTAAAAATAATCCCTTGATTCGTCAACTAGATCTAAAATTCTACAGAAACGCTTTTTTGTCGTTTTTTAATTGAAATAAGATGTCCGGCAGATAATATTGTACAAAAAACATAAAAAAAAAAAACTCCTATACACTATTATGTCTCTATCGATTCGAAACACACATCGTAATGAAATCAATACATTCTTCGATGCGATCAGCATCTAAAAATTAATGAAATACAGTTTAAAATATAAATTACCGATTATATATTTTTTTAAAGTATTATATTTCCTTTTTTTTTACGATTATAATCGTAAATTGGGTTTTGCAAAATGCTATTATCTGACCTTTGCAGTCTTTCCCGATAGTAATTAATTTTCAGGTTATTTACCTTTAGTTCTTTATAATAATATATTGTAAGAGTATATAACTATAACTCTTTGCACATAAAATTCATGATAATGTTGTGGTATTTATTATTGTATCTCTATAAGTAGTTTTTCTGTAGATTGTCAAAGTAGTAAAATAGAAAAAAAAAGCTGATATTCGTATGCAAAGATAAACTATTAAAACGGAAAACGATTCTGAACGCAGTTTGGTTTCGGTTATACAAGTTTTAAAATGCCATAATTTGTATAGTTTTTGTCAAAATTCGATCTTCAAACGTTCATATAATTAAATATCTACCTTCATTAGGATGCCTAACATTTTTTTTTTAACACTAAGTAAAATTTATAAAAAAATTAATCTCATGGTAAACTCTCTAGCGTTTTTATTTTGTCAAATTATTTTATCTCTGTAATACCTATCAAATAAAAACTGAAAAAATAATAAAAATATCAATTATCTATAAATAGCTTAAAAATTGAAAATTCTTGTGTACATGCATGAAGTTACGTATCTAGGTTAAATATTATTCTTTAAATTTAAATGAGCCTACACCTTACAAACTTTCAAATTCCTCCCTTTGCGTTTATCACCATCCCATGAGTGGTAATGAGGTATAATCTCCTGAATAAAATCACGTTTGAAATAGATAATAATAATAGGTTATAATATGTGATACCTAATGTAATGGTTTTCAGTAAACACGATTTATCTCATGCTCATATCTCAGTTCTTTAAGAAAAAAAAAAAAAAATTATAAAATAAAATGTTCTAATAAATGCACTTTAAAATCTTTAAAATGAATATCTAAATCATATAATGGGGAACTGCACTGTTTTGTACAATCAGCAATTGCGATAATGTAACGTATATACGAATTTAAACTAATTTTTAACGAGCAATTCGAAACGCAAGTGTTCCGTAAATAAATATTACTTGCTCGTGGAAATGTAGATACGCTATAGTACACGTATTATGTAATAAAATGTTTGAAATAAAAAATAAAACGAGGTTACGAACATAATAATTTCAATATGGACACTGACTAGTTGTTAAAAAAAAAAAAAAAAAAACATATTTTTGAGCTGGACTGAAATAGGGCGTAATTGGGTCTGTTACCTTGAAAAAGATAATGATATTATGCCATTCATGTAAATTGAATGATATTAAATATCTAAGTCAAAATAAATCGGATATTCTTGTTTTTTTTTTTTTGTTTTTTTTTTTAATTTTTAATACCTAATTATATTTGTAATATTATTATGCGAATCTTCGTAATTAATATCGTATTCGTTATATTATCGATTATTAAGTTACATCGAAGAATAAAGGGAAGAGGGTTCATTGATTGGATTATCTCTCCCCCTCTCTTGCTCTTGAATATAGTTACATGGGCGTGGACCGTTTGGCCGAATTAACTCAAAATGTGGTCGTTTTGGGCGAATAGTTGCACATCGTTTGGACGAGTGTTTATTCCACTAAAAATATAGCGTTTATAATATTTTCAATAAACATGGAAAGGTTTATGGGTAAATTCATTTACATAACCAATGTTTACTTATGAAAATTGACAATTGAAAAAATTTAGCCACATACAATGGGAAGTTTATAAAGTTGGATAATTTAATTTATATCTGTACGCAACGTATAACCATTTCTAACAAACAACAATTTGCAATAAGTTTCTTTTATCATGTACGTTAATTTTTCCGTTTTACCTGAATTTTCCCAACTATTATGAAAACTGCTTGGAAAACCAATAAAATAAAATCCTTAAAATTTTCTTTTTTGAAAAGGTACTATTCTTGAAAATTAAAACAAGATTTCTAGCTGAGGAGTGTTCACATATAAAAAAAATAAATATCAATGTAAAAACAAGTATATTTCTCGCTACGCCCCAATTCTAAAATTATTTATTTATTATTTTAGATAAAAATATTTTAGAAATACTGGTAACTAATATTTTTTATAGCATTACTGTATAACTTATAGTTTTTAAAATAACCTATTGGGATGGCTTTTTTAAATCTAGGAACTAGATTAATTATAAATTTACTAATATCACCTCTTTGGTATGTATCCCAAGTTTCCCGAAAAACTCGGTATACTGTGGTTTATTTCATACAACGTGTACTTATTAATGGTGCTTGTTTTATCTTAATAATAGTGAGTAATAATGATTAGCAGGGCTCAAGACGTTTAGCATTTGAAATCCACAAAAAAGAAAAAGTGCTTAAAAAAGTTAGAAAAAAGTTAAAAAAGCTTGATGAAAGAATATAAAAAACAAACGGTAGAATGATTAAGATATCCCACTCTCTTTAACGACTCGAATTTACTAAATACTTTATTTTAGCATTACACAAATTATGCAGTAATTTTTGCATTACAACCTATTAGATTTTAATTTAATAAATACATAAATAAACGCAAATCAATTTGTTTAAATAAAACTGTAAGTATTAAAAAATAATTTGACTCGCCTAAAAGGTATGAATGATAGAACGAACAATTTATTTTTTGATTAAAATGATAACCACTGTCCGTTTACATGTGCCTATATCAAACAAAAAAAACCATACAGTATATTATATACTATATAGTGTATTATAATATACTTACATTGTATATATGCAAATTATTATTTTCGTCCTTCCCCTTCCCCCGCCATTGAGGATTGGCAAGAACCGGCCCTGATACAGAATACAATTTACTCCTGTTTTTCTCGCGTTCGTTCGATTATGTAAATAATTCTTCCCTCCCTTTCAGAAAAAAAAAATAAAATAAAAATTTTACGTTACAGCTTTCTCTCCATTTTTATATTATATTGTTTTATTATTTCCAAACGCCTTATCAGCAGTTTTCCGCGACCGGCAAAGCGAATACGGGACAAACGGTCGATAAATAGTACAATATTTACGAGCAAGTGTACCTCACCTAACCGTGTATATTGCTTATATAATAATATATATCATTTTCGTGGATAGATTCGTAATAATATACGAGCAGCTGTAACGGCATGTGGAACAACGCCGTTATTTCTGTGATCGCGTTATGATATTATGCAAAACCGCGAATCTTTATTATTCCGAACGCTATAGGAGCCATCGGTAATCGCATTACCGACTCGTATATTTTTTCGGACGTCAAAACACACAAAAATACACATCTCCGACCCAGTTCGGGAAACGCAAACAATATAGTAGTGTAATAAACTACAGGGGTTTTTTTTTTTTTTTTTTGTAGGTCACGACGCGTCACAATTGATATTACTGTGTACTTGTTTAGAACAACAAAAATACAAACACACATAAACGCAAATTATACATAGGTACACATGCAGAGTCATTTATTAGTCGTGTATATACGTTGTATACGCGATTAATACAATAATAATAAAAATAGGAATGTCCGACCGGAAAAAAAACGCAATAAGAATAAACTTTCAACACGGTTTTTGCTCAAGTTAAAATTCGTTAAAACGTTTATTAAACACATTGCGCACAGACAAAATCACCGATTCATATAGATATAGTATTGTGTTGATAAAACAAAATGAAAATCCGTACATGTTTCGCACTATGGGTAGGGCACTGAAAATAAAAGTCAGAAAAGTATAGGTGATTTCGGACCGTTTAGTTTAGGAAAATTATAATAAAATCAACGATAAATTATTGCAATCAAGAAACATTTCTGAGTGTTAAGGTTTAATAAATTGAAAAACCAACAAAAATAAAATCGTCCTATTTGTTATTATTTTTTTCTTAGTGTAACGAAAGAGCTATCTGTTTTACAACGATGTATTTTTCTTTTCTATTATCGAAAATATTCTTACGGGTTACTAAAAATGCTTTAATTATTTCATGTCACCACTTAAAAGATGTAAATTGACTAATCGGTTCTGTATATGAGTGGTTCGGATTTCGAGACATAGGTTTTGTTTTGAATGTACACGTTCAGAGTTTTCTTTTTCTTTTTTATATTGTCTTTAAGTTTTAATACCTGAACAAAATTATATTGTTCTGAATAAAAATAAGTATGTATAATAATATGAATTTAAAAATAGCGTAGTCGCACAAATAATACACTAAAAAAAAAACGACGTCAAACGTGGAGAGATACGTCTCCCTTATCTCCTCCTACCCTCATAAATGTGCCACTCCGTGCGGTTGAAACTAAAGTATGACGCGCAGTACGTCCTACCTTCCCGACCGCCCGCATCCCTAAAATAACGGCCTACCCGCTAGCATTGTTATCCGGTTGTTTTTTTCGCCTTTACATAATATAACGCCGGACCTTTATCAAAATTATGACAAGTTGACAGTGCGTATTACAAGCGTCACGCGTAGGGTCAGGGTTCCGAGTGCGCCCCTTTCGGTGCGCCGCTATCGTGTACACAAAGTCGCACAGGGCGGCGCGTTGTCGCGGAGTCGTCTCGGCACGTGACGCGTTCGCACGACGACCGCGGGCCGACGACGAGGGAAACCGAGGCGGCGCGGTAGGCGGTACAGGGCGGCACGCGACGGACGTCCTGTACGGCGTCCGCGTTTTTAAATAAGTGTCTGGCTACCGGTTTATTAAAGCGTCGGCCGGTCGTCGTCGTTAACCGCGGCGGCGTCGCGAGCGGACGATCGCCGCGTACGGGGCACGGACACACCGCGGTACGGTCCCGTCGTCGGCGGTGGCAGCAGCGACGGTCCGGTGGCCGGCACATAATGCGGATCAATATACACAGGGTACGTGTACAAGCCGGTCGCCGCCGTCGAGTGCACCCGGCAGCGGAGAGCGGGCGCGATCGTGTGTACGCGAACGTTTCGCCGCCAAACCGTAACGGGGTAACGGACGAAATCGAAAATGGTTTTCATTTTTTCGCGTCGTTATCGATTCCAAACGATCGGTCGTCCTTTGTTTTCTTTATTTTTTTCCCCACACTATCCGCGGTTGATCCGAAAACAACACGATCTCAAAGACGCGCGGGCCTCAAAGCGCCGCGGTCAAAACGAACGAGGCCCCGCAGCCGCAAATAATAATCGGATTCGCGCGGCATCGGTACATAATTATACAGGCACGCGTACGATTGACTCACTGTCCTAACGCTGTCGACGCCGCGAGCGTCAAAAGCACGCGCGAGGGCTACGGCAGACAGAGTCAAGGTTAAGGTTGAGTCGCGAGAGGTTCCGGTTGTTTATTCGTCCTCGGCCCGCGGCCCCGTGACGTGGCGACGCAGGGAACGGACGGCGATACGCCGCGGACTAGAGCGACTGTCGGGAGAGGATGAAAAAAAAATAGAAAAAAAAAAAATGAAATAACTATAATAATGACCGTAGCCACGGCGGCACTTACGGTGGGTGGGGGTGGGGAGGAATGAAACGAGAAGCGAACGGCGCGCGTATTTACGGGTATTGGGCAAAAGTTTCGCCGTCGCCGTGGGAAATCGTCACCGCGACTATATATTCCCGGACGTTTGCGGATTTTTTTTTCTCTCCCCTCCCCCTCCTCCCCACGCGATGGTGTCGTATATACGTTTACGTATAGGTACACGCGTGGCGGCGGCGAGGAGACAGAGAGCGGCCGCGACTCCGCGCGCGGAAGGGCCATTGTGACGCGACCGAGTGTATAAACGCTTTTATTCGGAACTTTTGATGGGTGTAATTTCTGAAAACGGTTAGTTTTTCGGTCCATTTGCCACCCGGTCAATTTATATACTTTGCCCGGCACGCCTACCCCCTCCCCCCCGAAGATCATAGCTCGCGTGACCGTCCGGCTCGTACGCATGTATACGTATACGTATATACACCCCGCTATACAGGGTGCAGCATAACGCGAGTCGTACGTGCTCCGGTACGTGATGCGCGTCGCGGCGTGTTTGTATGTGTGTGTGTGTGTGTGTGTGTGTGCGCGTGTGTGCGTGTGCGTTGCGTGCGTGCGTGTGTGGATGCGTTTAATGCGTGCGGCGATTGCGTGTTGCGGAACGGAGGCGAGGAGACGACCGTCCGACCCGAAATCCGTTTGGCCAGAAGTTTTCGACGGTCGAAATTAAGGAGAAACGGGTCGCCATCCGACGCCTCGAATTTAACACTTAAACCGTGTTCGACGTTCACGCACCATAATATAACACGTATATATACGTACTTATTTACCGCGTTTGCCTAGATTATTGTACCTATAAGACCGTTGACTTAACCGCTTTTATTCTCACGACCGTCGCCGTCGCCGTGTTTCGTCCGGCCGCCCCTCAGAGATGCATCGAAAAGTCATACGACACGTTCGGGCAGTGTAAAAACATACGTAACTACGTAATTTTACACTTCATTTCATTAAGTCATATTTTTTTTTCCTGTTTTCCACGAGTACAATAAACGTATTATAGTGTAGTTTATGGGACTCGGCGGCGCCGGTTATCCAAATTTTTTCCGATTTCGTAAAATTCGAAAATCATTTTTAAAATTTTAAGGAGATCGCCAATTAAATACAACAGACGTTTTCGCTATAATCTACCGGATCGATATCCGTTTTAGGAACGAAAAAATTGACTTCCGGAAAAAGCGTGCGGGTTGTGGTCGACGTAATATTTGCTACTGTTTTAGTCGCCGAGTTGTTTTTCTAGAAATGCCTGTGAATAATCGCCGCGGATCTCGATCGCATTATTACCATGCAACTATATTGTTATGAATTTCGTTCCTAAAATTTTATCGTTCTATTAACAAGTAGAAATATTCTAGTTTGATTTTGAATACGATGATTTTTTCCAATGAATCCGTTACAGTTTTCATGATTGATAAAACAATTTATTGTATTACATGTCTACGTCCGCGTACCGAATCGTACGAACATTATAGACACGATTACATTAAAATATAAATGAGTATATGCACTTTACACTATTCCAACAAAACTCTTGATCCGGAAATCTATTGTGATCAGCAACAACAACAAAAACAACATTCAACAACAATTTCAAAACTATTAATTAATTAAAACTAAGATCCCACATTCCATACAACAGTATTTCCACGCGACACTGTTTCGTGTTTGTTTCCATAACAATATGTTTTAATTTTGTTTGTCTTTTGTCATTATTATTTAATTATTATATTATTATTACGTTAATAAATCCTCACGACTATATTATTATGTATAATGTCCAAACACTCTACAGATTAGCGAAGGCGTTAATTAATACACATAAATAAACGTTTTTTTTTTCACTTTTAAAGTTTAATAAACTTTATTTTAATTAATATTATTTTAAATTCTGAGTTATGCGAAATATATTTTTCCTTATGTTTCCAAAATGTAACATGTAATTATTACAAAAATAAATAAACATGTTTTGTAAATTTTTAAAACAAATCCGAACGAACTTCATACTGTGAGTATGCTATTATAATTGTTGGAAAGATTGAAATGCATATGATATAGTGGTGTTTTCCAATGTATTGGAATTCAAATGTATCGTTAAAATTTAAAAATTTCCCAAAATGGGTCGTATTTTGAAAAGATTGGGAAATTGTGGGACCTGTGATGCATAGTAATTTAATTTATTTACTGAAAGAAATATTAATTCGTTGAAAATTAAAAAATAGGTTTTGAGCTCATTACTTAAGCTGTGTTCCCCTCTCCCCCTGTAGTCAATAAGGTAACTCGGGAATCAAAAAAAAAAAAATAAATATCGATGTAGTATCGACATTTGTTGTTAATTTTTTTTTTCAATTTGCTAGAAAAATTGGTAAGTGTCTATAGATATTCGTTTTCAAATAAAGTATTCTGGCAAAAAAAAACTAAAACATCCTTACTAATAAAGTGTTTTCCGAAAGAAAAAAAAAACACGTATCTAAGTAAAATTAATAGATTCTTCATTTATAATCTAGAACACACATTTATGAATTGTTTACGATCGATATATGTACTCAAGTCGGTCAAATCAAAAAGAATGTATAAAAAAAATGATTTATTCGTTAAATATAACACGTTGGACAAGCGGAATAAAGGTGATATAAAAAAATCGAATTTGTTGTATTGTACTCGCCACTAATAGTCGTACTCGTATACAGACGAAACGACCACACGGGGTATTATCCGAGACGGAGAATTTATAGTATTCCTAAGAGTGTTGTTTTTTGCCTTCCGAAAGTCGGAAGACCGGGAGAATGGTTAAATGTGTGTCATGTGTCTCTTTGCTGTCGCGAGATTTCACGTTATTGAAAATTCTTTCGTTGTTTCTTTTTTTTCCTCATTTCCACCCTTTCTAGAATATACTTTTTATTTCTTTCTTTTTACCGCACAGCATTCACCCTAATACCCTATATCTCTGCTCGTTCTCGTCCCCTTATCAACGGGCAGACCGAATTCAAGAATATAGGAAACGGTTTTTTTTCCCCCAGCACTATACAAAGCGTTATACGTGTGGTGGTAAAATATCGTTAAGCGAGCACTTATCGATTATTCGAGCAGACCTCACTCGGCTTTTAAATTATCCGACTCCGAGTCCATATGAATATTATTATCAACCGAGAAAACTACCCATTAACGTTTCGGCAGTTTTTATATACCTACATGAACGTACAATAGGTATTGGCGGGTTAAACAAATTTGAAATAAAATAAATTATAAAATATTATTCCGGTCGGCTTGAAAGAGTACCTAACAATAATAATTTGTATTTATAACAATAACGATGATAGCAATGTATTTTCATTGTTTTTATTACCTACACTTTTTTAGCGGTGTATTATTAATTTTCATAAAGATTCGCGAAAACTGTCTGAAATATAGCCGAAAAATTATTAAAACAAATAGCTCGAAAGAGGATATTATTTTTTATTATATTTATGATCGTTGTTATAAATATTTGAATTTTACATATACTGAATTTTCAAATGTTTAGCCTTACATCAATCAACTAATAATGTAATATGTTTTTTTTTTATTAACCTTAAAGTGTATTTCGGTTTACTCCATTACATTATTATACCTATTATAATCTTGGTTTGGAATAAATATCATATCGTATAATACTTAGATACTATTAAATTAAAACTGTACGGTGTATAAATATGTTATACATAATGTATGAGCACAGAAACAATACATAATATTATGTTGCCAAATGAAAATCGGTTTAGATTTTTAGATTTTTTTTTTTTTTTCAAAATTCAATAAATTCCTAATATTATAGTAAACGAGCAATCTCTAAGTCAGGTGGACGTTTTGAATTATTTATTGATAGTTTTCGAGTACTTAATAATATTGTAATAGAAGTATAATCGAATTATCATTGTATTGAACTAATTTAAATTGATGTTTTTTGCCCTAGAACTACGTTTTACCACAACCGATCGACAGGTGTAATATTATAGAGTAATGCTTGTTTTCTATAAGGTAATTTTCACATTAAAACTTTCGCTTTATTGGTGCATATTTAAAACGTTCACATAGAGGCATATTCAATTTAATTGGACGATCTATTACTAGATTAGGACCTGCTGAGAAAACCGCTGACGTCGGGTTGTGTATTACGTATCTTACCAAACACTTTACACTGGCTATTAATATTGACTTACAACCCTCGTTATCCCGATATGATAATTGAAAATAAAATTATTATATAATTATGTTAACGTTACCTTAATATGTTTATTGAACAGTGAAAAATTATATTCTTACCTGAAAAAATAAAAATACGTTTTAGTTAAAATATCATTTTCAACAATTAATATTATAATTTGGTTTTTTTTTCTAAATAAAGTTTAATTAATAGGTACGTAATACCGTTAAAATGGTATTTATATATAATATGTACAGTATAAAAAACAGATTTCATAACAATTGCATTATAGACATTTAAAAAAAAAAAAACATAAACCATTTTCGTGTAGGTATATACGCATTAAGTATTTTAACAAATACGATAGACAAAAAATACAGTTATCAACATGATAATAATATTAGTATAATCATCTATGTATCAAATATTTACACTACACAAAATAATGCACTGAACGTATTTTTAGATTTGGAACGGATCAAAGGATCTATTGGTTTTAATATGATGTGTGTTTTTTTTTATATTTCGTATTTTTTTTTTACGTTTCAGTAAGCAACTTTTCTACCAGAAATCTTACTCTGATCTATCAAGTGTAGAATGTTTTCCAAAAGGAATTGGTGCCTATTTGGTGAATTGGAAAGATCATTTTTTGATTTTTCAAAGGGTTTTCATAATAAATAAGAATACTTGAAAAAAAATAATTGTAACAACGGTATCCCGTGTAGTTTTGTTAATATTTTGAGCATAACCGAAAAATAAAACGTAGAAATATCGAAAAGATATATACAAATAATGTTTTAATATTTTCAATTTTGTTTTTTAATGTTAATCAGTAAACAATATTTGTAGAGACTTGCAATTTTGACAAGAAACTTATGGTTTCCTTTGCTATAGGTGATACAATTTTAAATTCATTACAACTAATTTTGAGCAAGATATAGATATATTAATTATTTTTTATTAGTAATTTTTAATTGGTAGGTACTGTGTGGGTAGTCTAACTATATATAAATACTTGAAAATTCAACACGAGACTCATTATTTATTTTCAGTTGTATTATGTGATTAAAAAAATAAAATAATAATCATAGTAAAATTAAATGTAAAGTAGTATTTTTTGTTCGTTTAATAAAAACTTTAATATCAAATTTTGAAAAAAATCGTAAATATTACGGCTTTTCAAAATTTGTATAACCGAACTTCATTTCGAATCGTAATTCGTTAGCAATGGTTTGTCGTTGCTTACAGATGTATAAATAACTTTATGTACCTTTTTTGTTTTTATAACCTATACCTACTTAATATAGCGAATACAACTACTCTACTCCACAATGTTTAACGAGTAATACAAATATTATGTTATGGTTCTTGTTTTTTTTTTTTAGTTTTATTTAATGAAACTATTGAAATCGATATTAATTATGAAAAGTATCTTAAACAAAACATACATTATTTCTATGCATTTAATTGATCAATCAAACGGTATATAACAAAACTAGTTGAACACGTCATAATAACAATCTATATTTTATACTAAATCATTGAAAAGCGATATGGCTTGGATAAAATTTTTCTTTGTTTTTTAGTTTAGTAAACAAAATTCCAGTATTAGTTCATAATCAGTTATATTCGATATGTCAAAAAAAAAAAAAAAAAGAAAACTAAAAAGACGTCCTAGGATAATGGAGACGGGTGCAGCCACTTTTTTAATAGGTAATTAAATGTATATCAACGTAAACAATGTTAAACTATTGCTAACGAAAAAATGATTCTGAGCGAAAGTCTGTTGATAATAATGCTTTGTCAATAATATATATATGTCATCTTATGGTAAAATAATTAAATAGGTATCACACATTTTTTTTTTTTTATTTGTTTAATATCGTACCGATTTTCCCGGTTTTCCCATGTTTTTTACCGGCTTTTCACATTTGCTGGGAAAATTCTTAGAAAAATCGAAATATGACCTCTTTAAAGTACCTCCCAGGTCAAATTTCCTTTTAGAAAAAGTGCTGTCATTGTAAATCAGAGCAAAATTTTTGGTAGTGAAGTTGTCTACAGAAAAAAAAAATCGTAATATTTACTA